GCACTTAAGTGAAATTACCTCTTCACTTTCCTAATCTACAATTTTTGTACCTATAGCCCCTGGAATTGTCCTTCCCAGTTGTACATACATCTTATCCAAATTTTGTGTATTGATGTAAATGTCTACTGGATAACTATAATTGTCTGTCAACCTAGATGCTTAACTCTCCCCCAAATTGCTTTATTTCTTAAGACAGAAGTTCCTAAACTTCTTGGATCATAGCACTCTTAGTGTATCAGTCATTTCTTCTTGATGCCCTTACAGACTAGAAGAACAGAAGAAGTATGTAATTCTCAACTTACAATGGGGTGTAATGAAATGGGGCACTATGAAATACTCATATTTGGAATCAGATTAGACATGTCCAACTTCATTTTCTGTTCAACACTAGTTCTTGCACAGCATTTGCTTTTATCACAGTATTTGCCCAAAAACCACTTTTGCAAACACAGTGACTTCATTGAAAGCAATCTGCAGTATATAGTATATATTCTGCAATCTGATGTTGAAGCTGAGAACTACCCTCAAGCTAGTATTACACAAAAAGACTTGAAAATATTCTGTGGTGTCTCTGTGAGTCTGCTGTGCCACCCCAGGGGTCTCAGTGCAGCTTGGGAATATCTTTCTGTCAGTACATATATGGGTTTCATTTACTCCTCTGTGGCTGCTAGCATGGATACGTCGTAAGATAGTCACTCCTCTATTAGACATTTAGGTAACTTCCAACTTCATGTTATTTCCAATAATGCTCAGTATATATTCTTAAATGTACACTTAGCTCTATGCACATGTATATTTATGTAGAATAGGATTCCTAAAAGTGAAATTACTGTGTCAGTGGGTATATGTAATTAGCATATCTACAATCTAATGATAATCTTTCATTGTTGTTTTTGCTACTGTAGACAAATACATAATTCATTTTAATTTGCATTTTCTTCTTAATGGCCTCTTTGTGACTCTAGGTTTACCTAAGTCTAGCATATTTTTAAACATTAGCTGGATGTATTTCTCGTGACCTGCCTATTAATAGCTTTTGTTCATTTTTCTGTGTTATTGCCTCATGTAATCATGAATGTGGGGCACTCCTTTGTTATACACACATACATTATATATACTGTGTGTTTTTTTATATATATATATATATATATATATATATATATATATATAGTCCCAGACTATGATTTCTCTGGCTCTTGCTCATTGTATCCCATAGATATAAAAGTTTTAAGTTTGCAGTCACAACAATTTATGTGCTACCCTTATGGCTTCTAGAGTTTTAAATTTTTCTCAAGTAGATATTTCCCATCTTAAAATTAAATAAGTGTTTTCTTCAAGCTTTTTTTTTTTTTTAACTATCACTTTTGGTGATACTTTTAACTAGAGTTCTGATTTTGTTTCCCAGAGAGGCCACTGTTCCACCAGTAATTCATCCATTGACTTGGAATGTTACGCATTATAAATTCCCATATATCTTAGTCTTGTTCCTGGATTCCTTCAACTGATCTTTTTGTCCTGTGTCAGTACCACAGTTTTAATCACTATATTTTAATAAAAACTTTGATGGCTAGTTAAAGCTTCTTTTAAAATGTTACTGCTATTCTTACAGTTTTCCTTGTGAACTTTAGAGTCACCTTCTCACTTCTATAAACAGTTAAATCTCGTTGGCATTTTGATTGGAACTTGCAATATAGAATCTATATTGCAATGTAGGAACTAGGAGCCAATTCAAAGATCTCCATTCTGGTCAAGTAGGTACTTTAATAACAAAAGGAGAAATACTGTCTAAAAATCAAAGGCTGCATTCCTGTGCCCAATACTGCTTCAGAGACTTTTCCACCCACCTTGCATAAAAATAGGACCTCATTCTCTGCTTTGGAGATTTGCTTAACTTTCCTCTCCTTTCCTACAATAGCAAGAACTCCGTCCTACAACTTTCTATTCCCTCACTTAGTTTGATTAAAGTGAACTTTGGACTCAGAGTTTACATAGCCATTATAAACTAAACAAAATGATGCACTAGCACTTACCCCGAGGTATGTATTTAATTATAACCTTGAAGTAGCCCTTACTACCAAACTATAGACAGAGGAAATGTTTAATTTTAATTTCTGTATTTCAGAGGAATTCTCCAGTTGGATAAAGTGAATGTTATACCTGTGACAACAATCAATTTATATCCAGATGATCCTGAGAAAACAGTAGAAAACCTTGAAGATAAAACATGTATTTAAAACACCATCTCAAACCATGGACTCTGAGTGGGTCTGTACACTAGAGAAATTGCTAAACTCCTAAAACTGCCAAAAACTTGACCTTTAAAGTGGCAAGTTAGAATTCATCTTACTTGTAACTGGGCTGCCTATTCAGATGATGAATTGTTAAGGAAAATTTAAACAAAGTGGAAGAAAAGACATGTCGAAGAAACTTTGAAATTACCAAAAAGAAATTAAAAGGGCAAGACCGAATGTCATGTGCTAATACTTTTCCTAGGTGCCTTTGTTAAGAAAATTATATCCACTTAATTACTATAATATATGAGACTTTATGAAAAGCACTTTATGGAATTCTAATTTAAAAGCTCAAGAACATTAACACTTATTTTTTTATTCAGTAAAACGTGCCTTTATATTAAGTATGTGACTCGGTATAAATCACTGATGTGTATCATGATTTGATTGTATCCTGTACCAAGACCACTAATTTTGAATGCACAGGATGTAAAAAATAGTGGCTGTCCTCACTCTAAAATAAACTTTTTTGAGGAAAAAGTAGTCTTTTGGTATAAAAACTTTGCTCATTGAGAATTACTGGGTATTATAGTAACTGCTTTGCTTAAAATCAAAGCTAACAAGGAGCCATCTGTGTCATGGAATTAGAATGGGCCTTTGCACTGGTGGTTCTGAATATGGAGCTGTTTACCCTGCAGCAGTGTTTTATCTTACTTTTTTTAAGCTCACCAAAATTGACATATTTTAGATATAAAACTTATCTTTACTCCATGTGATAAACTACTGTAAGATTTTTTTTATTGCAACTCATTTTATTTTATTTTTTTATTATTTTTTTAAACATTTTTTATTTTATTTTTTTTATAGAGGCATGTTTTTATTTATTTATTTGTTTGTTTGTTTGTTTTGTTTATACAAGCACTGGGTACAGTCAGAAGCGCGGGAGGGTGAGAGAATTCACCAGAGCCAGAGCGGGGAGCAGAGCAGGCAGAAGGACCAAAACACACTGCTGAGGGGAGCAGCGGGCTGCAGGAGAGGTCTGCGCGCGCGCCATGTGGGACCCTCCTCCGGTGGCCTGGGAGCAGCCGGGGATCAAACCGGCGCCACAGAGGCCGCGGGCAGCTTCGCAACCCAGCGCTCAACCGCTGCGCCACCGGGAGGCCCGCAACTCATCATTTTAAACACATTATCCAAGAAAGTAATGACTTTTTTTTTTAAACTACCCTGTATTTAGGCCTATGGATGCTGTGAGAGAAGAATGACAGGTAGTACAGAGTGAAGGAGTAATGTTTCATTTTGCCTGTCTGTGAGGAGGAATAACAGCCCTGTGAAATGTACTGTCTGTATTATAGAATGGATATTAGCATGTAATTTACAGTCTGATCTAAAATCACCCAGCTAGTAACATTTTTCTCTTCCATATCCTTACTCATTAACTTTTTAGAGATCACATTTTTTCTTTTTATATTACGCTTATTGAGTTAACACTGATTTACAACACTGTATTTTAGAGGTACAGGTTCACACCTCTTACAAATGTATGTACCACACCATGCCCACCACAAAAGCCCCAATAATTCTCTGCCACAGTTCAGTGAGATTTTTTAAATATTAATTTTGTTGCTTTCCTTTCCTTCCAGAGCCCACTTTAAGCAGCCAAGCGTTTGTGCTGCTTCTTTTTTTTTCGTTTTTAAAGATTTATTTATTTATACAAGTACTGGGTACAGTCAGAAGCACAGGAGGGTGAGAGAATTCACCAGAGCCAGAGCGGGGAGCAGAGCAGGCAGAAGGACCGAGATACACTGCTGAGGGGAGCAGCGGGCGGCAGGAGAGGTCTGCGCGCCATGTGGGACCCTCCTTCAGTGGCCAGGGAGCAGAGGGGATTGAACTGGCGCTGCAGAGGTTGCGGGCAGCTTCACAACCCAGTACTCAACCGCTGTGCCACCGGGGAGGCCCCGTTTGTGCTTATTTCCTCAGTGAAAGAACATGACAGCAAAAACAAACGCCAAAACAATAAAAACCCCAGTGTGTATGTATGGCAGGGGAGTAGGAAGCCACTTCTGGCTTCTGAATTGTAATTGTGTATGCACTTAATAAAGAAGAAAGAACTGACATCCAGAGTAAAAATTGTGGATTAAAGATCTTGGGTAAAGCCAGCTGCCCATTGGCATCACCACCAGCAGACCCTGTGTGATAAAAGCATAGACATTGGTGGGTTTGTCTTCAGGGACCTGAGCATAGAGACAGCAAACCCTCCATATAGGTTTTCCAGATGTGACAGCAGTGGAGACCCACTGTTCCCTCCTGGGTGGAACCGCAGGACAAGGCCCCCCAAAAGTACAATACTACAGAGTGTATGAAGTTCACTTAGGAAGCAGATGGAACCTTGGACAGCGTCATACTGTCTTGTGTCCTCGGGGCTTGACGCAAAATAATTCTTACCTGTCCAGGAGTGACCTAGAGGTGGCAGGAAAACAGCAGACCTGAAGAAGACATGCAAGCAGGAAGCAGACAGGAGACATCTCAGAGAGCACTTGGATGGCTATTGAAGAACAAGGGCCACTTCCTCCAGCGCCTTGTAAGTGTAGATGAGACATTCCCCGAGAATGTAGGCAGCCCCTGGAGAAAGAATGGCGATCTATCAACTGACAGTGCCTACTACCAAGCCAGTAGAATAGAGGCTGGTTCCAAACAGACATGATGTTCTATCACAGAAAAACAATGTTCCCTGGATATCTTGAGTTTATACACTAATACCTTTGTAAGAATTACAAACACCTTAAGGAATTTTTGGCTAGGAAGTTTGGAGAGATGATGGTGTCATTCACAGATGCAGATAATAAAGAAAGGGGGCAAACTTGTGGAACACAGGTCAGGTTTGGACAGATTAAGGTTGAGGTGCCTTTGGGATTCCTTGGGTGTGTCGGGAAGCAGCTAGATAACTGGTCCTGGTACTTTACCAGATGATCACTGTCTCCCGTGTGGTCCTCTGCTTCTGCGCAGGCTCTCTTCAGGTCTGGTCTCCATGCAGTAGCTAAAAGGATTGATCCAGCTGCCCGATCAGGCCAGCACATGCTGGTCCACTTTGCATGCTCCACCCCCCTCCAATTCAAGTGCTTTTCCTGTGTTGTCTCTGTATACATGAAATCACTTGTTATCCATAGGCTGACAGGGTCTTACAACATCCTCTCAGTATAAACTTGCAGGTTCTAGTGAGAACAATGTAGGAGGTTCCATGGCCACTTACGGAGGAGAGGCTGTGCCATCAGCAGACTCCAGTTCTGCCTTCTCACTAGTGGGACATGGGGCCAGGCCAGGCACTGTCTTAACCCTTCCATGGCTGAGATGGTAAATGGGTTAAATGCGTTTCATCAGCACAGTGAGCAGCACAGGCACAGAAATGTCTACTTGCCTGTAATACAACCTCTTGTGTAGGCAGAATAAAGTCAAGTAAGGTTGTGGGTGTGTATTTTTCCCCCCTTCAGATGCACAATAAAACGCATCTTTAAAGGTCTCTGGAGAAGGAAAACTACCCTCACACCAGGCAGGAAGGCAGGCACTCTGGGCATGGTTCTTGCCCTAATTGGTAAAAATGTTAAGGACTTGCAGTCATCCACTGGCGCCCACGGCGCTGGAAGCAGTCATTCCCTAGCAGGAACAGCAGCTAGAGCCAGAAGGGAAGTCACTCTGCTCGGAGGTGCATATGGAGACAGTTTTCCTGGCTAAGTGACAGCATTTGTGTTGCGACATTTGTGGTCAGTGAAAAAAAAATAGGTAATGTTGAAGCAATACAATATGCTTGGCAGCTTTGAAAAATTGCCTTTATTCAGAATCATAAGGGTTTTAAAAAAATCTTACCATTATGAAAGTTTAAAAAAATATAGCACTCGGTGCAATGAAATACTACATTTAATTATTATCCAAACACTTAAGGCAGGTTTCTCACAGCTTATGTGTGAGAATTTAGCATGATCCAAACTCAAATATCCATTTCTCATATCTTTCAATGTCTGCGGCTGATACTGACTTGGAAACCTTTTTTAAAGCCATTTCAAAATCTTCCATAGTTGTAGGCATGTGCATTTCTTCTCTAGAAAGATTTCGGATTTCTTCTGGGGTCAAACCTTCAATACGCCTTCTCATTGCCATCAAGGATGCATCCCTAGTTTTTAAATTAAAACAAAACAAAACAGTGATATTCTGAATGAAAATCTATGAAAAAATTATTTTTTTTCAGGGTATGTTGTAACATTCTGTAATTATGATCTTATGGCATATACGTAAGTAAGAATGCACAGAATCTTGTATCAGTATCAAGAACATTCCGAGTTTCTTTTTGGCAGTTAATTGTGATGGAATAAGGATGCTATTCAATTCAAGTAATGGATATTGAGCATGAAGTCCAAGAAAAAGTGAAAGGATAAAATGAAGAAACCAGTAAATGAACTTCATCATAAGTGTCCAATAAAATAAAGACTAGTGTCAGAGAGACAGGAGAAAACCAGTTAGCTAGAAAATTAGGTATCTTCTACATGTGTAGGAAAAGTTAAATGATCAATATAGTTCTCTCCTTTCCCATTTTTGTATTTAGTGCTTTTTTAAAAAAAAGATGAAACCAGGGGCCTCCCTGGTGGTGCAAGGGGTTAAGACACAACCTATGGGTCAATCCACAGCCACTGCAGCGCGAGTTAGATCCCCGGCCAGGGAGCTGCCCACATGGCACAGCTGTGCCCACATGGCACAGCTGTCTCACCTGCTGTTCCCCTCAGCAGTGTATTTCAGTCAGTCTACCTGTTCTGCTCCCCACTCTGTCTCTGGTGAATCCTCTCACCCCCCACACCTCTGGCCTGTATCCCAGTTCTTGTATGCATAAATAAATCAATCTTAAAAAAATAAATTTAAAAACAAAAAAGATGAAAGCAGATTCAAGAACCTATTTCCTTTCACCAAGTTTCATCCTGAAGAGCCACCACTGACAGAAAGGCGCCTCCTACACAGGTAGTACGGGGCCTTAGCATCATCGCCGCACAGGAGGTGAGGTGACGAGGAGCCAGTGCAGTCATCACCATGCTAAGCACGTCTGAGCTAATACTCAGATTAGGACAAAAGGGAATTCAATCAACTAAACTGAAGATATTCTTTTTCCTGTTACTGCTGTTCCCCGCACATTTAGGACACCTCCCTGAAAATGAGGTGGTATTCTTGGGTTTGACAAACAAATTCATTTCACAATTATATTTACATTTCACAATTACAACATAACAGTAAATTGAACAAATGTATCAACAGCTTTTTTAGACAATTAATTTTCTATTTTTCACCATTTGTTCCCGTATTAGCTTGCTGGACTTGCAGGTTTCAGATGAACTGCAGACTCTTCCTTTTTTTTGTTTTTGTGCAGAAGAACTGGGGTATAGGCCAGAGGTTTAGAGGGAAGAGGGGATGAGGATTCACCAGGGACAGAGTGGGGAGCAGAACAGGTGGACTTACTGAAATACAATAATTCACTGCTAAGGGGAACCGTGGGAAAGACAGGAGAGGTCTGCTGCACCATGTGGGCTAGCTCTCTGGCTGGGATGAACTCATGCCATGGTGGTGATATCACTGAGACTTAACCCCTAAACCACGAGGGAGGCACCTGCAGACTCTTCACTGACGTGAAAGATACCCAAATATCTTACAGCACCTGTAAGCAACTTAATACCAAAACTTGTGTCTCTAACTATGGATGATAATGTAGGTCTTTATTCATCTAAATTCAGCGTAAAACTTCTTAATAGTACCATATACCCTCAAAAACTTCTATACTCCCAAAGTAGTTCTTACCTGCACACATTGGTAATATCTGCACCTGAATAACCTTCCATATTTTCTGCTATTCTTGCAAGGTCAACATCATCAGCCAATTCCAGCTCACGAAGACTTATCCGTAATAGCTCCTCTCTGCCTTTTGCTAATGGTAGAAACAAATTTTAAAATATAAAGTGTATTATTTCTTCTCAAGTCTATTTCGTATAAGAAATTGTTCTCCAATTCTTAGAGCTCATTTACATAAAAATTTAAGAGTCATCTCACTGAATCACCTAGTATCACAGCTTTCAGGCTCTAAATACAGCCAAACCAATTAGTATAAGGAAATATTACCTATATTTGTTTCTTAAATGAAAATTAATACCAAAAGTCAAAATCTCTAAGCAAAACTACCTGAGTTAACATGAGCTTTTCAACAAAAGTCAACTGAAGATACCTGATGGTAATGGAATATAGATTCTTTTTTCAAGACGTCGTCTTAAAGCCTCATCTATATCCCATGGAAAATTAGTAGCTGCCAGAACCATAACCATTTTGGAAGGGTCATCATTTTCAGAAGCACCTCCAACACCTAAAAGAAGGATAAAGAGAGAGTAAAAAGCTATTAAGTTGAACTGTAACAAGTAAAGCTCAGCTACTCAAAGATCATCAAATATTTATCAGTACAATAAGACAAAGTAGCGTAACTGTCACATCTCCTTATAACTTAGAAAGCTAGCTAGAGGGTCCTCCCTGGTGGCACAGGGTTTAAAGTCTCAGCACTATCAAGCTATTGCCAGCCACTGCGGCATAAGTTTGATCCCTGGCCAACAGCCTAACCCACACGGCGCAGCAGACCTCTCCTTGTCTCGCCTGCCGTTCCCCTCAGCAGTGTATTTTAGTAGATCTACCTGTTTTGAGTTTTTTTTTTTAAGATTTATTTATTTATGCACACAAGAGCTGGGGTGTAGGCCAGAGGTGCGGGAAGTAAGAGGATTCACCAGAGACAGAGTAGGGAGCAAAACAGACAGATTGACAGAAATACAATGCTGAGGGTAGCAGTGGGTGAGACAGGAGAGGTCTGCTGTGCCATGTGGGTCAGCTCCCTGGCTGGGATCCAACTCGTGCTTTAGTGGCAGCTGATAGCTTCAAAGTGCTGAGACTTAACCACTTGAGCCACCAGGGAGCCCCGTATCTGTCTGTTCTGCTCCCTACTCTGTCTCTGATGAATCCTCTTACTCCCTGCACCTCTGGCCTACATCCCAGTTCTTGTATGCATAAATAAAAATAAATCTTTAAGAAAAAAAAAGAGGGCCTCCCTGGTGGCGCAAGGGGTTAAGCACTGCACTATGAAGCAATCCACAGCCTCTGCAGCACGAGTTCAATCCCCGGCTGGCCAGAGAGAAACCCACATGGCGCAGCAAAACTCTCCTGCCTGGCCCACTGCTCCCCTCAGCAGTGTATTTCAGTCAGTCTGCCTGTTCTGTTCCCCACTTTGTCTCTGGTGAGTCCTCTTACCCCCCGCATCTCTGGCCTGTACCCCAGTGCTTGTATACATAAATAAATCTTGAAAAAAAAAAAAAAAAAAAAAAGCTAGCTAGCTGGTACACAGGTGAACTTGTCCATGGAAAGTGAATTCTTGTATTATATAAAAAATTTGACTCAGGGCCTCCCCATTGGCGCAGACGTTGAGCGCTGGGTTGTGCAGCTGCCCGCAGCCTCTGCAGCACCAGTTCGATCCCCGGCTGCCAGGCAAGGGTCCCACATCGCGCGCAGACCTCTCCTGCCACCCACTGCTCCCCTCAGCAGTGTATTTCGTCAGTCTGCCTGTTCTGCTCCCCGCTCTGGCTCTGGTGAATACTCTCGCCCTCCCGCACTTCTGACTGTACCCAGTACTTGTATAAATAAATTAATCTTTAAAAAAAATTTTTTTGACTCAATAAAGTTAATCAAAAGACCAGCTCACCTCAACTACATACAATTTTTAAAAGTTTAAGATGGTTCAAAAGCAGTCATATCCCCAGGCCTTCCCGGCGGCGCAGCGGTTGAGCGCTGGGTTGCGAGGCTGCCCGCAGCCTCTGCAGCGCCGGTTCAATCCCCGGCTGCTCCCCGGCCACCGGAGGAGGGTCCCGCATGGCGCGCAGACCTCTCCTGCCGCCTGCTGCTCCCCTCAGCAGTGTACTTCGGTCCTTCTGCCTGCTCTGCTCCCTGCTCTGGCTCTGGTGAATTCTCTCGCCCTCCCGTGCTTCTGACTGTACCCAGTGCTTGTATGTATAAACAAATAAATAAATAAATCTTTAAAAAAAAAAAAAAGTCATATCCCTCTCTAAGGCAGATTTAATCTGCATTTATTTCACTTCATGACAAAACACAATATCCATGTAAAAATAATATAGGCCCCAGGGAAGCCATCATTTCCAGCATGACACCAAGGTGAGTGTACACTATCCACTGCCATCAGCTCCAGGACCTACTCACCAGCCCCCTCTAGTCATCTGGAATCTGTGGGTTAGCTTATGAGTAGAGCTCAGTTAATTACACACATGTACACACATACCATCCATTTGAACCAGCAGCTCAGCTTTCACCCTTCTGCTTGCTTCATGCTCTTCAGAAGTCCCTCTGCGACTACAAATGGAATCTATCTCATCAATAAATATGGTTGCTGGAGAATAAAATCGAGCCTAAAGGAAGAAACCATGCAATACCAGGTTTTTATTTCATTTAAAAATAAGCTATAGTTTCACCGTTAGAAAACAGCAGAGTAGCCTCCCACAATGTATATCTCTTTCTAACGTTGGGGAGAGGGTAGAATTGAAACAGCTTCTAATCTAGACTTACATATACTTAAATATTACATGGCAATTCTGCGTACCCTTCAATGCTATAGTATATACATACATATGCACACACATTTGAGTGATATAAATATAGAATTATTCTGTATACTATATAAACATAGGTAACTGGTGGAAAAACTATTGATAAGTGTCCTAACATTCTAGAAAAAAATTCACTTAAGAGAACCATTACCTTAAATAAAATGACAAATTCCCTCTAAGAAATTCTACTTGTCATTCTTTTTTCATTTGACTAATAAAAGACTATTCTTCCCTTTCTTAAGTAGTTAATTAGGAGAGTCAATTTATATGATACAAGTTCTTTTTTGAGATAAAATTCACATAACATAAAATTTGCCATTTAATCTATTTTAAAATATAAGAACTCTTCCGGACTTAATACATATTCTCACTGTTGTATAACCATCACCACTATCAAATTCCAGAAAGTCACCCCAAAAATATTACCAAAAATATTACCCCACAAAAGATAATCCATATTTCTTTCCCTCTAGCTCCTGGCAACCACTAATCTATTTTCTCTTTTTATGAATTTGCCTAATTAAGACATTTCAAATAAATGGCATTGTAGAGTATGTGGCCTTTTGTGTCCTGCTTCACTCACCATGATGTTTTCAAAGTCCACCTATGTTGTGGCATGTATAGTTCATTCCTTTTTACAGCTGATTAGTATCAACAAAGCCTATTTTTGTACCTTAAGTACATTCCTTCCTCAAACCAAAGAATAGGGAAAACTGAGCCATTAAAATAATGGATCTATAGTGTTAACTTGACCATTTAATAGTTGTGTATGACTCATCAGTATTACCATTCTCTTAAGGAGACTAAAGTGGTAATTTATTACAGTAACTAACAAAGTTTATTGTTAATTATTAAAAAATATCTAAAATTATATAATGACTGAACAGAAAAAGTGCACTTAAATGAGGACAAATTTTTCAAAACAGAGTTTGAATGAACAAACAGCATTTTATTTTATTTTTTTTTCCCCAGTGGTGATTTTTTTTTTAATTAATTAATTTATTTATACAAGCACTGGGTACAGTCAGAAGCGCGGGAGGGAGAGAGAATTCACCAGAGCCAGAGCGGGGAACAGAACAGGCAGACTGATGAAGAAATACACTGCTGAGCAGAGCAGCGGGCACAGCAGGAGAGGTCTGCACACCATGTGGGACCCTCGCCGGTGGCCGGGGATTGAACCGGCACTGCAGAGGCTGCAGGCAGCTTCGCAGCCCAGCGCTCAACCACTGAGCCACCAGGGGAGGCCCGAACAAACAGCATTTTAAAAGCTTTTTCTACAAAGTGAAAGTCTACAAAAGGTGTGGACAAAGTGAGCCTCATGGACTTGAACATGTAGTTGAACTGGGTTTATTTTACCATGCTTTTGGGTGATGAAGTTATCATTCTCTAAGAGGCCATAAACTGTGTTGAAAGCACTGGGCCTCCAAAGTATACATTAAGTTTTAGTCTGTTTGCTTAGAAAATCCTAATATTTTCACCTCATTTTTTGCTGCAGTTGGGAATTTGAATTCTAAACATGTATTCCCTCCCACAGGGATAATTTCATTTTAAATAAGGGATCCTTACTTAGATTTTAAGTACTATGTATAAAAACTTTTTGCACTTTGTTTTCAAGAAATGGACAGAGGGAAAGCAAAAAATGGACACAGGGAAGGAATGAGGGGAAAAAAAGGATCTAGGAAAAATTCTCAATCAAAATTCTAGCCAGAAATGGACTACCAACAGAGAACCTACTCTACAGTAACAAAAATTAAGTTTCAATCTGTTTGTTGCCACAACGGGTATACACTATAGGACTGCTTGTTCCCAAACCTGCCGATGTTCAGAGAGCCTGCCACAGAGCCCATGAAGGTGGCACATACACAACTGGCGTGGATAACCCAGCAAGTGTGAAAGGCTTTGCAGCAGACAACAACTGCCTGCCTGCACAACATCTCCGCCTTCATCTGGAAGAGAAGTCCTCTTTTTCATTCACAGATCATCCATTTTTTATTCTCATTCTACTACTTTGCGAGAAGTCAACATTATTGGGATCCCAGAGGTATGATATAGGCCTGGCCAATCAGAGCATGCCAGATATCTGATCAAAATGATGGGTCCAGACGCAGCATGTAACTCAAAACGGGTCACACATTAATCCCTGGAAGTGAGCTACTTTCTTTGGGATTACCATGAGGAAATAAAAAAACAAGGCTGAAACCCGGGATAGCAATATCTTAGTCACCAAATAGACTTTAGGGCCTGCCTAAAGTCAAAGCCAATTCAGAGATAGGGAAAGCTAAAAGTCAGAATCATTCCTGAGAACATCTGAATTGCTGAACTGCTGCCAGGCCTAAAAATCTAAAATGTACCTTCAAGACCACAAGGAGATACTATCTCATACCTGTGTGAATGGCGAAATATGGAAAAGACCAGAAGCCACAAGTGTTAGGAGAAAAAGGAAGCTCCTACACTGCTGGTGGGAATACAAACTGGTCCAGCCCTATGGGAAGCAGTCTGGAGGTGTGTCAAAACATTAAACATGGATCTGACACTCAACCCAGAATTCCACTCTTGGGGATCTATCCAAAAAAATTAAAAAACACTAATCTGAAAGGAAAGCTGTACTTCCATGTTTTTTGCAGCACTATTTACTATAGCTAAATTATGGAAACAACCTAAGTGCCCCAGAACAGATTAGTGGATCAAGAAGATGTGGTACAGGCGCGACAGATCTCTCCTGCCGCGTCTGCTGCACCCCTCAGCAGTGTATTTCATCGGTCTGCCTGACCTGTTCCCCGCTCTGGCTCTGGTGAATTTTCTTACCCTCCTGTGCTTCTGACTGTACCCAGTACCTGTATAAATAAATAAATAAATCTTTAAAAAAAAAAAAAAAAAGATGTGGTACATATGCACAATGGACTACTACTCAGCAATTAAAAAAGATAAATTTGGGCCTCCCTGGCGGTGCAAGGGGTTAAGACGCAACCTATGAAGCTATCCGCAGCCACTGCAGCAAGAGGTCAATACCCGGCTGACCAGGGAGCTACCCACATGGCACAGCAGACCTCTCCTGACTTGCTCACTGCTCCCCTCAGCAGTGTATTTCAGTCAATCTGCCTGTTCTGCAACTCCCTCTGTCTCTGGTGAATCTTCTCACCCCATCCTCTCCCCACACACACCGCTGGCCTGTACCCCAGTTCTTGTATACATATATAAATAAATCTTTAAAAAAAAAAGATAAACTCATGTCATTTGTGCACTATGAGTAGTATTCCATGGATGGAGCTTGAAAGGATAATGCTAAGTGAAAGAAGTCAGAAGGAGAAAAACAAGTATCAGATAGTGTCACTAACACGTCGAATATAAAGTAACTAAACTGTCAGATAAAGACAAGCTGAAAACTAACCCTTGACAGCTGACTACACAACTGAAGTACCAAGAATGAGAGGGGGCAGGGGAGGGATAAGAACAAAGAGGGAAGGAAGCACAATGGTCTGTGGGTGAGTGGGTAGTTAGTGCACTACCATGGTAATACCTGATGGGGGCACCCCAACATTACCTGTTAAAAATAAACTAAAACGTAACTTCTGAAAATTCCCAATATGTGACCCAGTATACTATTCTGAAAGTTTCTGACAATACAACATTCACACAGTTAAGTTTTTATATGTGTTTGTTTCCATGTCATATGAAAAATCCCAGATGGATCTTTCTAAGAGGTCTTATTTATAATCTAGGTCTTGAAGCATGCTCACTATCACAGATTCTGGGGAGGGGTGTGCACAGGAGAAAGGTGATCACATGCAATCTATAGATGAGTCAAAAGGAAGCTATGAAGGGCAGTACGATGTTACTTCTTGAGAAAAGTCCACATGATGGGGCCACCCTGGTGGTGCAAGGGGTTAAGCATTGCACTATGAAGCAATTCACAGCCTCTGCAGCGCGAGTTCGATCCCCGGCCAGCCAGGGAGCAACCCACATGGCGCAGCAGACCTCTCCTGTCTCACCTGCTGCTCCCCTCAGCAGCGTATTTCAGTCAGTCTGCCTGTTCTCCTCCCCACTCTGTCTCTGGTGAATCTTCTCACCCCCCGGCATCTCTGGCCTGTACCTCAGCTCTTGTATGCATAAATAAATAAATCTTAAAAAAAATTAAAAAAAAAAAAAAAGTCCACATGATGACCAGGGGAAAAAAAAAAGAAAGAAAAATCAAACTGATTTCAAATATGAGTCTTTTTTTTTTAATTGTCCTTTTTTTTTTTTTTCCTCAAAGATTTATTTATTTCTTTATACAAGCACTGGGAATAGTCAGAAGCGCAGGAGGGTGAGAGTATTCACCAAAGCCAGAGCGGGGAGCAGAGCAGGCAGAAGGACCGAAGTACACTGCTGAGGGGAGCAGCAGGCGGCAGGAGAAGTCTGAGAGCCCTGTGGGACCCTCCTCCGGTGGCCGGGGAGCAGCCGGGGATTGAACCGGCACTGCAGAGGCTGCGGGCAGCTTCGCAACCCAGCGCTCAACCGCTGCGCCACCGGGGAGGCCCTCAAATATGAGTCTTAACTGAAAGTCATAAAAGGAGCTGCAGACTGTAGGCACTAGTTTGTGAGGGAGCCACTGCTCAGGGGGACAGCTGGAATACCCCATTCCAGGTGAGGAGGGGCTTACTGAATGATAGGAAGTGGTCCCTAACAATGCCAGGGAGCAGTAAAAAATAAGCTGTTTTTACACTTTCATAAACCTGACTTCAAAAAAATAATGCAAGGGCCTCCCTGGTGGCGCAGGGGTTAAGTCACAACCTATGATGCTGTCCGCAGCTACTACAGCACTAGTTCGACCCCCGACCAGTGAGCAACCCACATGGCGCAGCAGACCTCTCCTGACTCGCCCACTGCTTCCCTCAGCAGTGTATTTCACTCAGTCTGCCTGTTCTGTTCCCCACTCTGTCTCTGGTGAATCCTCTCACCGCCCCCCATACTTCTTACCTGTACCCCAGTTCTTGTACACATAAATTTTTTTTAAATAATGCAAATTAACACTTAAAAGGCTTCCCCTCACAGAAAATGGTCAGTTTTCTTGAATATAAAATACTACATACACTAGAAAATATAGCAAGTAATTCTTAAATACTAACACCTAATACCTATGAGTCGGGCTCTGTATTAAGCAATTTATATGTACTGGCTTGTTTCATCCTCTGAGCATCACAGAGGTAGATTCCATATTGTTGTCCTCTTATAAAGCAGCTGAGTATCAGGGGCCTCCTGGTGGCCTAAGGGTTCAGTCTCAGCACTATCACCTCAATGGTCTGAGTTCAATCCCTGGCCTGGGAGCTAACCCACATATGGCACAGCGGACCTCTTCTGTCTTGCCTGTTGCTCCCCTTAGCAGTGTCTTTCAGTAAATCCACCTATGCTGCTCCCCACTCTGTCTCTGGTGAATTCTCTTACTCCCCATACCTCTGGCCGACGCCCCAGTTCTATGCAAAAAGTAAATAAATCTTCAAAAAAAAATAACTGAGGATCAGGAGAAGGAGGTACTGGTTCCCAATCAGCAGCTGGGTAAGACAGAGGTGGGATATGAACCCAGACCATCCAATGCTGATGGTCACTCTAGCCACTCTATTTAGCTTACTTTTTTTTTTTTAAGATTTACTTTATTTATGCATATGCAACAAGAGCTGGAGTGTAGGACAGAGGTGCAGGTGGGTGGGGGGCAGTGAGAGGATTCACCAGAGACAGAGTGGGGAACAGAACAGGTGGACTGACTGAAACACAATGCTAAGGGGGCTGAGATAGTAGAGGTCTGTTGCATCATGTGGGTTAGCTCCCTGGCTGGGGATCGAACTCGTGCTGCAGTGGCTTCCGACAGCTTCATAAAGCTTAGACTTAACTCCTTGTGCCACTGCGCCTATTTAGCTTACATTTTTAAAAGGCTCAGTTATTCTGGAATACCAGGAATATATTTTTTCCCCTGATGAAAAGGGTAAACTAATTTTTCAAAATGATCAAAGAGGTTCTCCATTAGATTCTGGGGTGGTATGGACTATTAATAAACTGTTGAGAACTTGCCCAAATTTGCATCCTGTCTTACGACTTATCAAAGTTAAATGAGAAAGAAAATGGGAACTGAAACAGGAAGAAGCCATTACAGAAAATGGATAATCTGAAATCTTAATTACAAATTCTATTTGTTTGTGTCATTTGGTTTATTCTGTGGCTACGAAGATCTAGTATATTAGCACAGTCACCTAAGGTTTTGTTCACTATGATGAAGAGCAAGTATGTCACTATCTATAAAATAAGCACTAACCCTGCCCTAATGCATGTTAAGTACACTCTTTCTTAAAGGAGGCAAGGCTGAAACAGTGAAGCTTAGAAAAGTCTGAAGTCTAAATAGCAGCTGAGTTCAATCCAAACATTCCACCAGAACTTATCATTTGTCCTACTGATACTCAGATTAGTGGAGCTGGAAGAAGGAAAAAGAAACTCAAAGAAAGAAGGAACTTAAGCCAAAAACTGGGTCATTAAATGTGGGGCATTTGGTATAGTAAATGGACTGGAGGTGATCTAGTTCCACTTAGTCGTCCTTATGTTACTGTTATTTCCCATGTAATGACTAAGTCCATGGATATAAAAACATAATTTCAAATTCCCACGGCAAAGTAGTTGCAGATCCCATAACATGAACATGCCCATAAGCACAGAGATGGCTCCTCCAGAGGAAAGGAGACAAAACGCGTTGTTCATGTTAGTAAAGGATGCCAGCTTTAAGGGATAGCAATCACACTCTGGGCACAAAGGCTTCCTGCTGAGTGACACACTGGAGATAGCTACAACTCACTTTCTCCCATTTTAGAGGTAAAGAATCACTAAAGCTGTCTCAGACATTCACCATTTCGAACAGAAGACGAACAAGCTTCTCAGACTCTCCCCTGTATTTGGAAGTCAGTGTTGAAGAAGAGACATTGAAGAATGTTGTCTTGCATTCTGTAGCTACTGCTTTAGCAAGGAGGGTCTTGCCTGTGCCAGGTGGGCCAACCATCAACACTCCCTGTTGGGAATATAACAGTGTGAGCAAAGGACTGATCCACCATTTTTCTCATTCATAAGAATTTCATCCCTAAGTATCAAATTTCAACTAACATAAAATTTTAAGGGCAATAAAAAGACAAATAAATAGGAGGATACTTCATCACAAATTTACTTTCTCCATGATAAGGTAAGGTAATCATACTATTAAAAATTTAGAACTCAGGGCCTCCCTGGTGGCAAAAGGGGTTAAGACGCAACCTGGGAAGCTGTCCGCAGCCACTGCAGCACCAGTTCAATCCCCAGCCAGGGAGCTGCCCACATGGCACAGCAGACCTCTCCTGACTCGCCTGCTGCTCCCCTCAGCAGTGTATTTCAGTCAATCTGCCTGTTCTTCTTCTCCCCACTCTGTTTCTGGTGAATCCGCTCATCCCCCACACCTCTGGCCTGAGCCCCAGTTCTTGCAAGAATAAAGTTTTTTAAAAAAAAATTTAGAACTCAGAGATGAGAAAAAGCAAATATAATCAATAATATAATACCATACCCTAACACATTAACATTAATATCTCGACGTATTTCCTGCTAGTCTCTTTGGTCAAACAAATCAGCTATTTATTCATTTATATTTTACACAGTTTATTCATTATTTTTGTGTCTTGCCTACCACTTAACATATTAAGAATTTTTAAAAATAGTAGTGCAGAGTTAACCATTAGAAAATTTTCCAAGGAAGCCTTTTAAAGTCTCTTTTCAGGGCCTCCCCGGTGGCCCAGTGGTTGAGCGCTGGGTTGCGAAGCTGCTGGCAGCCTCTGCAGCACCTGTTCGATCCCCAGCCACCGGGCGAGGGTCCCACATGGCACAAAGACCTCTCCTGCTGCACACTGCTCCCACCAGCAGTGTACTTCGTCAGTCTGCCTGTTCTGCTCTCTGTTCTGGCTCTGGTGAATTCTCTCACCCTCCCGTGCTTCTGACTGTACCCAGTGCTTGTATAAATAAATAAATAAATCTTTAAAAAAATAAAAAGTCTCTTTTCAGATCAGCCCACAGCATTAAATAAAGCACTCATTAGATGCAAATTATGTCTCATTTTTTTTTTTTTAGGATTTATTTTTATTTATTTATGCATACAGGAACTGGGGTGTAGGCCAGAGGTGTGGTGGGTGAGAGGATTCACCAAAGGCAGAGTGGGGAGCAGAACAGGCAGATCTATTGAAATACACAGCTAAGGGGAGCAAAGCAGTGCACAAGACAGGAGAGGTCTGCTGCACCTTATGTGTATTAGCTCCCTGGCTGGGTATTGAACTCATGCCGCAGTGGCTGGTGATAGCTGAATAGCACTGAGACTTAACCCCTGCACCACCAGGGAGGCCTCTACTGTTTATTTCTTTATTTTTTTAATATTTCTTTATTTATTTATACAAGCACTGGGCACACTCAGAAGCGCGGGAGGGTGAGAGAATCCACCAGAGCCAGAGTGGGGAACAGAACAGGCAGACTGACGAAATACACTACTGAGGGGAGCAGCGGATGCAGCAGGAGAGGTCAGCACGCATGTGGGACCCTCACCAGTGGCCAGGGATCGAACTGGCGCTGCAGAGACTGCAGGCAGCTTCGCAGCCCAGCGCTCAACCGCTGTGCCACCAGGGGAGGCCCTGTATTGTGTATTTTTTAAGAACAATTCCAAGAAATACAGGATACAAGTTCTACAATATAGCATATAAAATGGAGTATTTCTGCATCAGTGACTAGTTCATACTTGCAAATGCAAGGTCATTCCAAATCGGCTGTGTGTCCAGTTTTCCAAGGGCCACACCACACTTATTTCTCATTCTGGGAACCTTGCAATAGCTTTTGGTCAAAACAAAATTCTAAACAATATAACCAACACTTTTTAATTTAAAATTTTCTTTACCTACTCTTCTTTTTCCCTTCACTTTCCCCAATACAAATAAATACTGGCTTTCTACTGTAATGTACCTGCCATTCCCTTTTACAATGTCATAACAATAATAAACTTACTTTCCATGGTCTCCTAATGCCCTTAAAGAATTCCGGCATCCACATTGGTAATACCACGGCTTCTTTAAGCAACTTTTTAGCTTCTACTAAATCTGCAATATCATCCCTGAAAGAGAAGATAATTTATCAGCAATCTCTTCCATTAAATAATTAACTCTAAGCGGTCACTTTTGAGAACCACTGGTGGTAGCACCTGATTCCATATTGCTTAGCTTTTGCCTAGGCACTAATGAACTAGCACACTACAATGAGGCCACCACACCATTTTCTAAATTAAGAGTACCAGCTGTATCTTCAGTTCTTGGCATTAATGATTTTCAGCCTGGCAAATGAGAACACAAGTTACAGGCCCACTCCTAAGTATTATCATACCATTTCAGCTCATCTTAAATTCCTGCTCAAAAGATGTTCATTTCATATTTAGAAAGAATGAGACCACTAAAAAAAACAAAACAAAAAAAAAAACCCACTAGGAAAGAAAATGGTACTAAGCACAGATGAATACAAAACTGTTGCTTTGCCCACAAGCCTATGAAGAGGTAGATCCAAGGTTAGAGTATCACAGAGACTGCCACGTAGTCCCACCAGCACAACTCCTATGACTGGGACAGGAAGCATTTTTTAATGAAAATACATATTCACCGTCTAAAAAGCAAATACCAGAAAACATTTTTAAAATATGCCCAAAACCACACTTAAAAATTAAAGGTTTTGACAAAAACCAGTAACTTAACTACCAGACTTTGTGGAAAAGTCAGTTTTTATAACTCAATGTAGTATGTTATAGTTCTTTGATATTATTATTAAAGTTAATAATCTATTAAAGATAATATTAATAAAGTTAAGAACCACTGCTCTAAGTAATAGGAAATAACAGCAACATCACTGGATAAACCTACAGATAAGCAACACACATACATAAAAATCATTCCCTTTTCACCATTAGAGGATGTCCCCAAAAGAAGATGAAATTTCTGTGCTCTTATCCCTGTATATATAATTTTTTAAAATTTAATGAACTATTTTATTAGATGAAATAAGTTCAGGCCAAAACTTGGTACAGCCTGAAAAAAATCAAGTTTTGCTATCATGTGTCAAGCTCACACTGCATGTCCTTGTGGACAAATCTTCAGTGTGTGCCTATATTTGCTCCATTTTCTATTCCCAAAAAGCACCATCAAGCACCCAATTATCGTATTTTGTTGTGATGCAACTTACCATCGAACATTGGGATTCTGAGAAATTATATCTCTTTCCAAAGCTTCTACTAAATCCTTATCATAGCCAGTACTATCAAATTTATTTGTCTCTGGTTCTGTAACTGCAGCAGGTGATTTGTTCTGTATTTGAAGGAAAAAAACAAAAGTTTCTGATTGATTAAAAAATTATATTTTGTTCCATTGAGTCGTAAACAAAGACTGGACAGACTTACGATATTTTTGTAAAAGCTAGTATAAGGGGTCTCTCTGGTGGCACAAGCGGTTAAGAGGCAGCCTATGAACCTATCGGCAGACACTGCAGCACAAGTTCCATCTTTGGCCAGGGAGGTGACCCACATAGTGCAGCAGACCACTCCTGACTCGCCTGCTGCTCCCCTGAGCAGTACACTGCAGTCATTCTGCCTGTTCTGTTCCCTACTCTGTCTCTGGTGAATCCTCTCACCCCCCGCCACACCTCTGGCCTGTACCCCACTTCTTGTATGCATAAATAAAAAAAAATCTTTAAAAAAAAGCTAGCATAAAAGTACAAGTAGGGCCTCCCCGGTGGCGCAGCGGTTGAGCGCTGGGTTGCGAAGCTGCCCGCGGCCTCTGCAGCGCCGGTTCGATCCCCGACTGCTCCCCGGCCACCGGAGGAGGGTCCCACATGGCGCGCAGACCTCTCCTGCCACCCGCTGCTCCCCTCAGCAGTGTCCTTCGGTCCTTCTGCCTGCTCTGCTCCCCGCTCTGGCTCTGGTGAATTCTCTCACCCTCCCGCGCTTCTGACTGTACCCAGTGCATGTATAAACAAAACAAACAAACAAATAAATAAATAAATAAAAACATGCCTCTATTTAAAAAAAAAAAAAAGTACAAGTAAAAGGACAGAAGCAAAGACTAAATCATCCTTCTATGTCAACATATTTTCATACGCAATTTTTTTAAAAAGATTTATTTATTTATTTATACAAGCACTGGGTACAGTCAGAAGCGCGGGAGGGTGAGAGAATTCACCAGAGCCAGACAGGGGAACAGAACAGGCAGACTGACGAAATACACCGCTGAGGGGAGCAGTGGGCACGGCAGGAGAGGTCTGCACGCCATGGGGACCTTCGCCGGTGGCCGGCGCTGCAGATGCTGCGGGCAGCTTTGCAGCCCAGCGCTCAACCGCTGCGCCACCAGGGGAGGCCCTTCATACTCAAGTTTTTATTTTTACATAAAAACAAGACCAAAGTTTCTAAAATAAAAATGATTAAATACAAGAATTGGCTAGAATAAAAAAAATACTGAGACTAACTTGGGGTCACTAGTGATTGTCAGATATGTCTGACATTTATCTTGAGGCTTTATAGGTAAGGTTAAAGACAGATGGTTCATTTAACTAAGAATATAGCTCTATCTTTAACCTCCTTCTGGATCTTCCTCAACCAATGCCCCTGAAACATGCCTTTGCATAATTCCAAGCCCTCTCCTACGGAGACTTCTTCCCATCTTCTGTGATGACAATCATTAGGGCTATAGTTCCTAAAAGTTCCAGGGCACAAGGGCAAACTCACAGGGCACTGCAGGCTACTGTTAACTTTTGAGGGCAACACAGCAGTATCTGCTGCTCAGTGAAAGACCAGCTTGCGTTAGCTCAGTCTCTACACTTAAGACTGTTGTTTTCCTTTCAATAATGCCATGTTTTTCTGAAGCTGGATTTTTGGGTTTTATTTTGGCAGTTGCTGTGCTAGAAGACAAAACTCAATACAGAAGAAGGACGAGAGTGGAATGTCCACCATGACTCCCAGGTTTGACAGTCTGCAGTGCCCAATAGGTATTGTTAGGACACACATAGAATAGACCAATACCTCTCACCATGCACAAAAATCAACTCAAAATGGATAAAAGAACTGGACATAAGGGGCCTCCCCGGTGGCGCAACAGTTGAGCACAGGGTTGCGAAGCTGTCTGCAGCCTCTGTAGCGCTGGTTCGATCCCCAGCTGCTCCCCAGCCACCAGAGGAGGGTCCCACATGGCACGCAGACCTCTCCTGCCGCCCGCTGCTCCCCTCAGCAGTGTACTTCGGTCCTTCTGCCTGCTTTGCTCCCCGCTCTGGCTCTGGTGAATTCTCTCACCCTCCTGCGCTTCTGACTGTACCCAGTGCTTGTATAAATAAATAAATAAATCTTAGAAAAAAAAAAGAACTGGACATAAGACCTGAACCCATAAAATATATATGAGAAAATATAGGTAAAACACTACAAGACATACATTGCAATAACATCTTAAAGACTCATCACCCAAAGCAAAGAAAGTCAAGGAAAAGATAAACACCTGGGATTACATCAAACTGAAAAGCTTCTGCACGGCAAAAGAGACAATAACCAAAACAGAGAGATACCCCACTGATAGGGAAAAAAATCTTTGTACCCCATTCAACTGATAAGGGACTGATCACAAAGATATACAAAAAATCACACAACTCAACAAAAACAAAATAAACAATCCAGTCAAGAAATGGGCAGAAGAACTTAAAAGACATTTCTCCAAAGAGGAAATGCAAATGGCCAACAGGCATATGAAAAAATGTTCAACTTCCCTTATAATCCGGGAAATGCAAATCAAAACCACAATGAGATACCACCTTACACCAGTAAGAATGGCACATATCAAAAAAAACAGCAACAACAAATGTTGGCGAGGATGTGGTGAACATGCTTAAAACAAATTAAAAAACAGAAAACTTGACGAAGTAACAGAAGACCCAAATTAATCCAATCCAACACATATTAAGTTAAACTTCTGAAAACTCTTTAAAGACAAAGAAAAAACTGAAAACAATTTTGAACTGTCATAGAATTAACTGATTCAGGCAGGAATCACTGGTTGCTAAAACAAACAGGTGAAATTTTGATGAGAAACAGGATATTTACAGAATCTTCCCACAAATTATAATAAAGGGGAAAAGAGTATCTTTTCACTGGACAGACCCAGCAGACACCACCCTAAATAATCTAATTTATTAAGAGCACTGGAACAAATAAACACCCTGTGCACTGGGAAGAACAAGACCTTACTTCAGTGGGATTTTTGCCCCAAAAACATTTTTGATCTACTCGTGAGAGTATATCAGACAAATCCAAGTTGAGGGGCATACTACAAAATAACTGGCCAGTATTCTTCAAAAACATCAGGCCAAAAAAGATAAAGGCTAAGGAAATGTTCACATTAAAAGAGACTAAAGAAGCATGATTAAATACAATGTTAGGATTCTTTTTTTTTAAATTTTTTTTTTTTTAATAGAGGCATGTTTTATTTATTGATTTATTTATTTGTGTGTTTTGTTTATACATGCACTGGGTACAGTCAGAAGCACGGGAGGGTGAGAGGATTCACCAGAGCCGGAGTGGGGAGCAGAGCAGGCAGAAGGACCGAAGTACACTGCTGAGGGAAGCAGCGGGCGGCAGGAGAGGTCTGCGCGCCATGCGGGACCCTCCTCTGGTGGCTGGGGAGCAGCCGGGGATCGAACCGGCGCCGCAGAGGCCGCAGGCAGCTTCACAACCCAGCGCTCAACCGCTGCGCCACCGGGGAGGCCCCAATGTTAGGATTCTATACTGGATCCTAGCATGGGAGAAAAGTTACAAATTATTTTATTGGGATAACTGCTAAACTTTATGAAGATCTACTGATTTAGTAATACTACTGTATCAATATAAAATTCATGGTTTTAAAAATTATATTTTGTTTACGTAAATGAATGATAGGAAAAACACTCTGAAATATTAAGGGTAAAAGGGCATGACAGCTACAACTTCTCTTAATGCTAAAGGGGGAAAAAAAGTATACAAAGAACAAATGATAAAACAAAAGAGGCAAAATACTAATAACTGGTAAACCTGGGTAAGACTATCTGGTTCCTTTTACCATTCCAGTAATTTGTTGAAATTATATAGATAGAAAGTTAAAAAAAAAAAAAAAAACTTGTTGAGGGCCTCCCCGGTGGCGCAGCGGTTGAGCCCTGGGCTGCAAAGCTGCCCACGGCCTCTGCAGCGCCAGTTCGATCCCCGGCTGCTCCCCGGCCACCAGAGGAGGGTCCCACATGGCATGCAGACCTCTCCTGCCGCCCGCTGCTCCCCTCAGCAGTGTACTTCGGCCCTTCTGCCTGCTCTGCTCCCCGCTCTGGCTCTGGTGAATTCTCTCACCCTCCCGCGCTTCTGACTGTACCCAGTGCATGTATAAACAAAACAACAAACAAACAAATAAATAAATAAATAAATAAAACATGCCTCTATTAAAAAAAAAATTAAAAAAAAAATACTTGTTGAATAGAAAGTTGGAAAATGCTAGGCTAGGTGGAGTGTGACTGAGGTTTCACTATAGTCTGGCAGTTTTAACGACCATGTTAAAATTTGTACACGCTTCATTTTTAAGGTTAATAAGTAACTTTTTCAGATATGAACATCAGCAGCATTTACCTTTTCCTCTCTTCCTTTATTCTGTTCTTTCTTTTCCCGACAACGAACAGCTTTCCCTCTGTCATTGTGCAGGTTGTGTGCAGATGGACGGTGAACTCTGACAGTTGTACCTGGACGGTTACCGTGTGGTTTAGGGTCACTGTACTGAGAGGACTGGCGCTTCCTAGGTCCTGGTGAGGGTCTAACCAAATAAAAGAGCATCAAAATAATAATCAGCTCCTGAATTAATCCAAATATATATGAACACACACAATGTCTAAGGTTAATAACTATGAACTACAGAAGTCAAGGGAATAATTACATACAAATAGGACTGAATAAACTTAAGATCACTGAAATTAAACATCTAACACTTAAATCTGACACAGCTATCTGTCATGATTTAATGAGGGGAATGGAATGCAGTATGGTTATATGGTAGAAATAATGGAAGGCAAATGACCATCTTTTCTCCTTTGAAAGGAAATAACTTGCACAGCAAGGATGAATATCTGATTCTCAGAAATTGAAAAGGGAGCAAGAAAAAGAATTTTATCAAAAGAATCCAAATATAGCATAGGTGTAGCATTCACATTTATCTATTGGCATATGCACAATCTGGAACCATTAAGAATGTATCATAGTTCTCACCTTCCCATTAAAAATACTGATATAAGCACTAGCTGTGATTACAAGAACTGAGTGTTGGGCCTCCCCTGGTGGCACAGCGGTTGAGCTCTGGGCTGCGAAGCTGCTTGCAGCTTCTGCAGCGCAGGTTCAATCCCTGACCACTGATGAGGGTCCCACATGGTGCGACAGACCTCTCCTGCAGCACCCACTGCTCCCCTCAGCAGTGTATTTTGTCAGCCTGCCTGTTCTGTTCCCGCTCTGGCTCTGGTAAATTCTCTCACCCTCCCGCGCTTCTGACTGTACCCAGTGCTTCAAAAAAAAAAAAAAAAAAAAAGTTAAAAATTAATTAATTAAATCTTTTTTTTTTTTTTTTTTTTTTTGTGGGCCCCTCACCGATGGCCGAGGATCAAACTGGTGCTGCAGAGGCTGTGGGCAGCCTCGCAACCTAGCGCTCAACTGCTGCACCACCAGGGGAGGCCCAATTAATTAAATCTTTAAAAGAAAAAAGGACAGTCCTAGATGTGGGATTTGGGAGCTCAATTAAAGTCAAAGCATTGTAAACGTGCAAGGGATGGCGGGGGTTCAATTTTGGATTTAGAAACTTGGCTAGCTAAGTGGAAATATTCCTTTAAAATACAGATTTTCCAGGAACTCCCTGGTGGTGCTAGGGATTAAGATGCAACCTATGAAGCTACCCACAGCCACTGCATTACAGGTTTGATTCCCCAGTCAGGGAGCTACCCACATGGCGCAGCAGACCTCTCCTGACTCGCCCGCTGCTCCCCTCAGAAGGGTATTTCAATCAGTCTGCCTATTCTGTTCCCCACTCTGCCTCTCTGGTGAATCCTCTCATCCCCCCACCCCATCATCTCTGGCCTGTACCCCAGTTCTTCTATGCATAAATAATAAATCTTTTTTTAAAAAAATACATATTTTCCCTTATTAGAAAAATAATTTAAAAAAAATGAAATACAGGGCCTCCCCTGTGGCGCAGCGGTTGAGCACTGGGTTGCGAAGCTGCCCGCAGCCTCTGCGGTGCCGGTTCGATCCCTGGCTGCTCCCCGGCCACCAGAGGAGGGTCCCACATGGTGCGCAGACCTCTCCTGCCGCCCGCTGCTCCCCTCAGCAGTGTACTTTGGTCCTTCTGCCTGCTCTGCACCCCGCTCTGGTGAATTCTCTCACCCTCCCGCGCTTCTGACTGTACCCAGTGCTTGTATGTATGTATGTGTGTATCAATCAATCAATAAATAAATCTTTAAAAAAAAAAAAATGAAATACAATAAAGTATACGGAATTTTTCACTATCACCTGTAACCCTACTATCCAGCTAACTAAACATCTTAGTAGATTTTCTTACAGTTGCCTTTCATTTAACCAAAATGGGGACATTATACAGATACACTCATTTTTCTCTAAATTATATCATGAGGGATTACCTGTATCTTTTCTTGTATCATCACCTTAATGACTGGATATTGATCACATAAAAATGAGCCACACTACATCACTTCTTAACAGTAGCTATTCATTCATCCAAAAAAAAATCCGTATACTATACAGACACTACTCTATACATTAGATTTAAAAAAATGCATGGGGGACCTTCAGTGAGGAAATACATCGGCACAACTAAACACTGTCTAGAAAAATAAGGAAGAGTAAGGGGCAACAGGACGATGGTGGAGGGGTATTTTAGGCACAGTGATCAGACAGTCCTTCTGAGGTGACATATTAAGTAAAGACCTGAATGAATGACAGAAAAAGTCATCAAATATTTGAGGTGAAGGGCAGGGAAGTGCAATGAAGTGGGGCATGTGTGTGTGGACTTAAGTAGGCCGAGGGAGAGAGTTTTAAGAACTTAATAGAGGTAGTGAGGAGCCACATCTCAGGGTGCTGAAGGGCAGATGAAAGCTTTGGGTTTTATGCTGTGAGATGAGAAGATATTTGAGGGGCAATCAAATTTAAAAAACATTTTAAAAGAATCATATCTAATAGCTTTTTTTAAAAAATATTTTATTTATTAATGCATACAAGAACTGGGGCACAGGCCAGAGGTGCGGGTGTGTGTGCGCATATGTGTGTGTGAGAGGATTCACCAGAGACAGACTGGGGAGCAGAACAGGCAGACTGATTGAAATACACTGTGGAGGGGAGCAGTGGGCAAGGCAGGAGAGGTCTGTTGCGCCATGTGGGTAGCTCCCTGGCCAGGATCGAACTCATGCTGCAGTGGCTGGGAACAGCCACTGGTTGTGTCTGAATCCCTTGCACCACCAGGGTGGCCCTCTATTAGCTTTTTTATTTTTTTTTTTTTTAAATAGAGGCATGTTTTATTTATTTATTTATTTGTTTGTTCGTTTGTTTTGTTTATACAAGCACTGGGTACAGTCAGAAGCGCAGGAGGGTGAGAGAATTCACCAGAGCCAGAGTGGGGAGCAGAGCAGGCAGAAGGACCAAAGTACACTGCTGAGGGGAGCAGCGGGCGGCAGGAGAGGTCTGCGCACCATGTGGGACCCTCCTCTGGTGGCCGGGGAGCAGCCGGGAATTGAACCGGCGCTGCAGAGGCTGCAGGCAGCTTCGCAACCCAGCGCTCAACCGCTGCGCCACCGGGGAGGCCCCCTCTATTAGCTTTTAAGCAATTTCTAATCTTTCCTCTGAAAGACTTCAATGAACCTCCTTACACAAACATTTTTATGTACTGCTCTAGAAGAGAATAATGGACTAGTCCAACCTATTCTTTATTTTTTTAAAGATTTATTTATTTATGCATACAAGAGCTGGGGTATAGGCGAGAGGTGGGGGTGGTGAGAGGATTCACCAGAGACAGAGTGGGGAGCACAACACGCAGACTGACTGAAATATACTGCTGATGGGAACAGCAGAGGTCTGCTGTGCCATGTGGGTCACCTCCTACATAGGACTGAACTGGTGTTGCAGTAGCTGAGGATTGCTTCATAATGCTGACGCTTAACCCCCTATATCACTAGGGAGGCCCCCAACCTATTCTTTTAAATGGGGCTAAAATTTAAGTGATTACTAGGTTAGAATTATCACAGAGTTGGAAAAAAGAATAAGCTCTCTCAAGCATGAGTACAAATAAAAATTAATAGAAAATTTAAGAGTTTGGAGGAATGTCCAAATGAGAAAGCAAGTAAATTTCAGAAAGAAACAGAAAGATGCAGTGATAAAGTCAAAGAGTAGAACTTTTAAGGTAACAGTAATCCAGGGTATTTAAAATCAGAAACAGAACAAGTAAGAAGCAAGAAGAAGAAAGCAAGAAGCAGCAGAAGGGACACTTATCATCAGAGAATTTAGAGCTCATCACTATAGAATTTTTAAGATGAAAAGACTCATCTAATTCCATTTCCCATCATCCCAAAGAAAGAATTCTCTTGGCCCTGCTTGTTTCATTGAGATAACCAAACTATTCATCGAATTTGAAATAAACTGAATTTTCACTGGGCATCTCCTCATTGGAGAGTTCTTAACAACAACTGAGAGAGGAATTAAAGGGCTCTTATGAACTGAATGTTTGTGAGCCCCCAAATTCCTTTTTTTTAAATATTTATTTATGAATACACGAACTGAGGTACAGGCCAGAGGTGTGGGGAGTGAGAGGATTCACCAGAGACAGAGTGGGGAACAGAACAGGCAGACTGACTGAAATACCCTGCTGAGGGGAGCAGTGGGCGAGGCAGGAGAGGTTTGCTGCACCATGTGGGTAGCTCCCTGGCTGGGGCTCAAACTCATGCTGCAGTGGCTGTGGACAGCTTCATAGGTTGCGTCTTAACCCCTTGAGCCACCAGGGAGGCCCTCAAATTCTTTAGATTAAATTCCTAACCCCTAATACGACTCTCTGGAGTAAGGAAGTAACTATAAGGTCAAAGGATGGGGCCCTAACCCAGAAGGAATAGTGTCCCAGCAAGCTTGCTGGCTGTCTCCATCAGGTGAGACACAGACAGAAGGCAACAGAAAAGGCCCTTACCAGGACCTGGACTGGCCAGCACCTTGAGACTTTAGTTCCAGAACTGTAAAAAATAAATTTATGTTGTCTGAGCTCCCAGCCTATGCTGTTTTGTTATGGCAGCATAAGCAGACTAACACAAGACCAAGTGGTGATTCTCCAAGAGAGAAGAAAAGAGAAAGTGAATAAAAATATACTAAGAGTTAAGAAAACATGCATTGAAACTAAGTATTACTGGTTCCTTAGAGCATTTCTGCCAATAAATCTTTCACTAATTATTCATTTGCTACACCAGGTAATAGGAAGTTGGGGTAAATGCCACAGAAAAACCTAAAATTAAGAACATTTTATCTTTTTTTCTGTTAAAGAATATTTTTCAAATTTAGCAGTTTTAGCTTGACAAACACTTTAGAACCACTGGTTCAGTCTAACTCTCTCAGTATATGTATGAAATACCTGAGACTTGGATTACACAATTGTCCCAAACTACAGACTGTGGTTAACATAGAAACAGAATTTAGTTATTTCAATTCCGAGCCCCATGCTCAATAAGATCTCATTATCTCCACTACTTTAAGTTCATTCATGAAAGAATATTTTTTTTAAAGAATCAGACCTTTTTATGAAAAAAAAAAAAAAAAATTTTTTTTGTTTAAAGATTATTTATAAAAGAACTGGGGTATAGGGCCTCCCCGGTGGCGCAGCGGTTGAGCGCTGGGTTGTGAAGCTGCCCGCAGCCTCTGCGGCGCCGGTTCGATCCCCGGCTGCTCCCCGGCCACCGGAGGAGGGTCCCACAGGGCGCGCAGACCTCTCCTGCCGCCCGCTGCTCCCCTCAGCTGTGTACTTCGGTCCTTCTGCCTGCTCTGCTCCCCGCTCTGGCTCTGGTGAATTCTCTCACTCTCCCGCGCTTCTGACTGTACCCATTGCATGTATAAACAAAACAAACAAACAAATAAATAAATAAATAACATGCCTCTATTAAAAAAAAAAAAAAAAAGAACTGGGGTACAAGTCAGAGGCGCGGGAGGGTGAGAGAATTCACCAGAGAGAGTGGGGAGCAGAACAGGCAGACAGACCGAAGACACTGCTGAGGGGAGCAGCGGGCAAGGCAGGAGAGGTCTTTGTTGCAGCATGTGGGTTTCTCTCTGGCCAGCAGGAATCGAACCTGCACTGCAGAAGCTGCGGACAGCTTCTGCAGTGCAGCGCTCAACCTGCTGCACCACTGGGGAGGCCCATGAAAGAATATTTTTGACTCACTTGCACATAAATTTAAGTTTTGTTTTTTTTTAAGTTCCTTTTTTTTTTAAAAGATTTATTTATTTATATAAGCACTGAGTACAGTCAGAAGCGCGGGAGGGTGAGAGAATTCACCAGAGCCAGAGGGGAGAGCAGAGCAGGCAGAGTGACTAAGTACACTGCTGAGGGGAGCAGCGGGCGGCAGGAGAGGTCTGCGCGCCATGTGGGACCCTCGCCGGTGGCCGGGTATGGAACCGGCGCTGCAGAGGCTGCGGGCAGCTTCGCAGCCCAGAGCTCAACCGCTGTGCCACCGGGGAGGCCCAAATTTAAGTTTCTGAATCAGTCATAGAGTCACATGATATACAATTTTAGAGTTATAAAAGGCATTCAACAACAACAAAAAAACCCTTCCCATCCTGTCTCTCAGTCACCCAGTTCTCCTAGATATTACTAATGCTGTCAGTTTCCTGTGCTAATTTGTTTCGTCAAAGGGCTCCACTTACCTTCGTTCAACAGGCACAGGCAATGACCAGACCTCTCCCTCCGAAGCTGGAAGCTCATGTTGTGCAGCTTTCAGTGGTGTGCTGTCAAGTTTAAAGCTCTCTAATGTTTTCATGATATCCTTAACATGTTTAGCTTCCACATTTATTTCCTGCCAAACCTGGTTTCAAAGGAGAACAGAGCTCTTTAAACTTCTATGAGTAATAAATCAATGCCAAGATTAAACTAGGGCTATTAAACATCTCTATTGTTAGAAACCTCTGTTTTGACAGCAAATCTCAAAAAACCAAAATATTCAAGATTTTATTACTGGTTCATTAATTCTTTGTTTTCAATTGCAAAATTAATTCTATAAAATGAATTAAATATTCTGGCCAGTTAATACATGTAACTGACTATAATCCTTATTCAACCTACGTAACAACTGAAGTAGGCTGAAACTTTAAAGTTTCAAAAGATAATACTTTGCCAAGCTTTGCTTTATCACTTTTATGCCTTAAAAAAAAAAAGCAATATTCACTGAATTTTAAAAATTATAAAAGTTGGTAATGTTTTGCTTTAAGTATTTTGCAAAAAAGCTTATTAGACTTTTAAAATAAAGGGATCTGGCCTAAGAACAAAAAGTCTTAAAAGTCTTTTAGGGTAAATTTAAGAGTCCTTAAAATAATATTTTCCCCTCTGGTAAGGGATATAAAAGATAAGCAAAGGCAGTTTTAGGGAAAGAAGTTCAAAGAGGATCATTTTCTCTTTTAAGGACAAATATAAAATACTATCAAAAAGCAGTTCAAATGGATAGGTGGAGGAGTAAGGGTGGTTTCGTGGTGGGAAATGATGGTGATCACACCTAAGGGCAGAAATCCAGTATTATGAAAACACAAACAAGGATGTAAAATGATGTGCCATTAAAAACAAACCCCCCAGCAATTCAGTAGCATATGAGGGATAATATTCTACCAAGAAGGCAATTCAAAAAGACTATTAATTCCTATAACATTTGTTTCCTCTGTGACACAGATGAGTCATTATAAATGCCACATTCAACTGAACTTATTCACAGTTTTCACTTGTAAATTCCTATTGGTCCTCTGGGACTAAAGTTGCTCAAATGGGGGTCAAACATGGTCTTCTTTATACTGTCCCATAAGGAATACAGTACCAGCAACATTCTGATGTCATATGCAACAATGGCTTAATAAAGTCAGCTCTCATTTTACCAGATGAAAATGTAACTGAAATACAAATTTTTAAAATCACTACTTTTTTCCTAATCTATTAGGACCCAACAATTAGAATAATTGAATAGAACTCAGAATACTGATGATGGTAAATAAAAACTACCACTAATATGAGTAAATCAAGTTTTACATAACAAGATATACAAATCCTGGTAACCAGACATTCTCAGTGTAACTGCAAAATGCACTCACAATCTATTCAAATCTTCTGAGTACTTACACCATTAAAACACACAGCAGTCATGATTCTCACCTGTTGCCATTTCTGCTGAAGGTACGTGTCTTTGACTGAGTATAGGTATTTGTTCATTTGGTCAAGCACACCCTGATAATAGACCATCGCAGAGTCATAGTTTCCCAGCAACGCATATTCACGAGCCAATTTTACATTCTCACTGATCATAAGAAGACTCATGCTCTCTTGCAAGCTAAAACAAAAACATTTCATGTTATATGCTTCTCAAAACAAGTGCTACAGTACAGTTTTTAGAAAGCACTCTTTGCGAGGTTCCCTCACGATCATAAACACACACTGTACTTTCTACCTCTCCACATTTGCTCGTGCTTCTCCTACTCCTTCAGCTGCCACTTCCAAACTCTTATCAACTGTCAATGCCCCGTTCAGACAGCATTTCTCCTAGTAGATGGCAATTCCCCCATTCAAAATAAACTCTCCCTCTTCTAAGGTCCCCTGGCACTTTGCTGGGGTTTTCATCTCAAAGCATGTCTATTTTATATTGCATTTACTGGTGATGTGTTATCTCTACAAGACTTAAGTTCTTTGAGAGCAGGTGTTGTATCTGAAAGGCATGAGACTGTACTCTTGATGCTTGACACACAAATCTCTGAATATCTGTAGAACAAATGTAGAAAGTTAGATAATTTTTTTTGGAGGGCAATGTGGAATAACAGAATGCATGTTTCAAAGTTGGAAAAATCTTGATTAGAATTTCTAATTCACCATAATAATCAAGTCCCTTAACTTTTCTAAGCCTCAGTTTTTAAATGTCTAAAATTGGGACAGTAAATGTCAAGAGTTGCACTATAGGGATAAATGATGACTTAAAAAACCTAGCATACTACTTGGCCAAAAGCAGGTTTCTAATAAAAGCTGAATGCATCTTCCCTGGACCTTTCTATACATGAGAACCAACCTTTGTATATATGAGAACCTGTATTCCTAAATATAGGAAACTGTATTTAGATTATGGATATGTACCATTATAAATGGGCAGCTTTTTTAATGCTAATTACTATTATTAACACCATATAGCAAGGAGAAATTCAAATTTGGATGATTCCCTGCTTTAGAGACTAGGGCCATAATTTAGATTAGGGTTGTGGCTTTGCAAATAAAAAGATACAAATTTGAAACAAGGTGGTAAAGTAACTGCTCAGAGTACTTGGAAACTGCTGGGATGCTGAAATGAATGAAGCTTTAGGTCTGAGAAACTACAGAATCAGGAAACCAAGAAAATTCACAGGAAAGCTGAGAAGAGATCTATGTGTGAAAAAGCAGGATCATCATCTTTTACTTCCTTTGTAAGTCAGTGGGCAATCATCCAAATAGATGTGTCTCAAGATGAACAAAGATAACATATGTGGGGACCTCTATTTAAGTTAACTGAATCTAGCCAGAGGTGTTTTCTAAAACTGTGCTTCTTACCACCCTTGCCCTATTCCCCATCTATGCTTAAGGTTAAGTGAGGCAACAGAGTCTGATAGAGATGACGACTGCTCTTCTGTTCTGCACACTGCTTCTTAGGGTAGAGACTGGAGAGGGAGGGATGTCAAAAATCACTAACAACAGCCGGCTTCTACAAACTCACTACCACTCATTCTCCAACCAGCGAAAGGTACAACTCTTGGCCCTTACCTACTTAGGCTTGATTAATACATGCCATTTATTACATATTAGTTATGTATTAGGATCCTTAAATCTAAGCATCTTTAATCCCATATAAGGTTCATTTCTAAGTATAAGACAAGACTGGAAACCAAGATAGTAGCTGGTCCTTTCTCTGAAAACCAACCCTAGAAAAGTCACAGTTACTTTCCAGATTGATGGACCCCCAACTGAACATAAAATTCTGAAAAGAAAAACAAAAACAAACAAACAAACAAAAAAAAAACAAAAACATTCAAATGACAGATAATGACTGTGTTGTAATGTGGGAGGGTGAGTTATCAGTCTAGAAGGAAAGAGGGCCAGGTGAGTTTTCTGGCAGTGCCCTTTCTGACTTCCATTGTCCTTACCACTCCTTACTCTACCCACCTTTGCCACTGTAGGGCAGAGAAGAAGCAGTGCTAGCCCAGTGCCTGATGGAGACAGCAGGTTCCATCAGCACAAACAAGGGCCTGGATAGAGTGAGAGCTGATAAAAACAGGTCAACACAGAAGCTCTGAGAGTGTCTCCTGTTGCCGTTCTTCCACTTAGGGAGGGTAGATGACAGCAAATGAGAAAGATAGTTCTTAGGAATGAGCAGTTCCCAGGCTGAGGATACCTGATTGGCAGGATTGAGAGGCACAAAATATCAAAATGATGAGAGATGGCGGAATACAACAGTAGAGACGCACCACACCCTGCTACCATAAGAAAGAGTCATTCATGTACTAATTGTTGAGCTAAGTCATCCACTCAAGAAGCTAAAAGACACCAACAGAGCAGACCAAAAAGCTCTTTAAATTTAGGGGCCTCCCTGGTGGCACAAGGGGTTAAGATGCAACCTATGAAGCTATCTGCAGCCACTGCAGCACGAGTTCCATCCCCAGCCAGGGAGCTACCCACATGGCGCAGCAGACCTCTCCTAATCGTCCTCTGCTCTCTTCAGCAGTGTGTCTTAAAATTTAAATCAAAGCAAACAAAAGAGCATCTAAAACATTGGAAAAGACTTATGAAACCAAAATCTGGGTCTTTGAAAAATCAAGAAACAAGTATTTGGCAAGAATGATTTAAGGGGAAAAAATGAAAGGACACACAAATAAACAAAATATAGAATGAGAACCAGGAAATAACTAGACAGATCTGAGAATAAAGAAAATGAAGTTTTCGCTGTAATTTTTTTCTCTTATTTTCCAGAATATGAAATTTTAATGACCTCTTTCCCTTAAAAAGCTCCAGTTGCAGAGACAGATTTTTCATAAGTGGGTTTTTAACCTTCCTCCTAAATAGAAGATAATTTCAATCACACATAAGTTGATCCAACCCTTTTTATGAGGCTAGAATCATCAATTTCAAAACTGAGTAAGAACAATATAAGTATCACTGCACTATGAACACAGACATGGAAATTCTAAACAAGATACATACACTTCATCAAGAAGGTTTATCCCAGGAATGCAAGGGTAACTTAAGATCAGAAAATCCATTCTTATAATTCCTTATACTAATGAAAAAAAAAAAAAAAAAAGGACTTCCCACAAAAACGGAAAGAGAGCATAAAGGGCAATTCATGGAAGGGAAAACCCAATGGCTAACAAGCAGAGACACTATTTAGTTAGGAATGGAAATTAAGCATTGAAAAACCCCTTTCTACCAGATTAATAATTAATTAATTAACAAGTCCAATAATACTAAGTATCAGCAAGGATTTGAGGAAAAGGAAACACAATTTGTGGGTATAAACTGGTTATGGTCATTTCGAAGAGCAACCTGACAATACCTGGGAAAATTATGCGTCCATTTATCGTATGACCCAGCAATCCCACTACTCTGTAAATACCCCAGAGAAAGTCTCACACAGATCCATTAAGGATTTTGTTTTGGGATTTTAATGACAGTATTGTTTGAGAAATCAAGGAGGTAGAGGCAATCCTTCTATTTCTAGCTAGGGAAATGAGTAAGAAAATGTGACAGATGAATACCAAGGACTACTATATGGCAGATGGAAGCAATGAACAAAACTTATAAATAACAACAGGGATAATCCAAATATAGAGGAGTTGGGTGAAAAAAAATTTTAGACACAGAATACAATCTAAATCCAATACCATTCTGTGAATAAAAAATAAATATGCTTTGGGGCCTCCTTGGTGGTGCAAGGAGTTAAGTCACAGCACTATGAAGCTATGGGCAGCCACTGCAGCAGGAGTTCGATCCTCAGCAAGGGAGGTGACCAACATGGCACAGCAAAGGGCCTCCCCAGTGGCGCAGTGGTTGAGCGCTGGGTTGCGAAGCTGCCCGCGGCCTCCGCGGCGCTGGTTCGATCCCCGGCTGCTCCCCGGCCACCAGAGGAGGGTCCCACATGGCGCGCAGACCTCTCCTGCCACCTGCTGCTCCCCTCAGCAGTGTACTTCAGTCCTTCTGCCTGCTCTGCTCCCTGCTCTGGCTCTGGTGAATTCTCTCACCCTCCCGCGCTTCTGACTGTACCCAGTGCATGTATAAACAAAACAAATAAATAAATAAAACATGCCTCTATAAAAAAAATTAAAAAAAAAAAAAACATGGCACAGCAGACCTCTCCTGTCTCACCCACTGCTCTCCTCAGCAATATATTTCAGTAGATCTGCCTGTTCTGCTCCCCTGTCTCTGGTAAATCCTCTCATCCCCCATACCTCTGGCCTGCACCCCAGCTCTTGTATGCATAAATAAATCTTTAAAAAATAATGGGTTTTATAAAACACCTTTTTCTTTTTCAGTATTCACATATCAATACATCCAGGAATATATACCTAATATATGACAGTGTCTGTGTAAGGTAAAATAGGGAATAGGAGTAGAGAAAGAGTATGAAGAGTAGGGAGAAACAGAAAATACAACAAAAGAAGGGCCTTAGACCCAGGGATAATTAGAGAGCCTGTAAGCTGACTCTCAATGATCTCTGCCTCCTGGTATCCATGCCCTTGTGAAATCACCTCCCCTAGAATGTGAGACTGTAACAAACAGCATATACAAAAACAATGGAATGTCATTTCTGAGATTAGACTGTGACTTCTACCTTGCTCACATTCTCTTGCTGGCCTGGGTAAGGAAAGCCAGCTACCATGTTGTGAACTGCCCAGAACAGTGACTCATATGGCAAAGAACTGAGGAAGGCCCAGCAACAACCAGTGAGGAATTGAGCCTCTCAGTCCAACCATCCAGAGGAACTGAATCCTCCCAACAACCATGAGGACCCTTGAGAAGACTGCAGCCTGATACCTTGATTACAGGCTGTAAGGGCCCTGAATCAGAGGCACCCAGCTAACACATGACCGGATCTTGACCCAAAGAGAGTGTGAGATAATGTTTAAGATACTAAGTTTTTGGGTAATTTGTTATGAAGCAATACAGCTATGAACTATGGTCTGTAATTATGTAGGTCAAAGCTAGGTTGCTGTGATCCAAAAGAAAAGGAAAATATCCCATGACCAAAACAGTGATTGTCTGGAGTCACTGATAATATTCCATCTTGACAGACACTTCAGGGCCAAGAACCAAGTGTCTCTGTTATTTACTGATATTACCCCTGCACAGAGAATCATGCATGGCACACAGCAGACACTCCATAAATCTTTGAATAAATACTGCCAGGTTTTTGTCCTAACTGCTAAGATTTCTTACCTTTGTCTGGTGCATGATCCGCAAGCACCCTCACATTCCTTGATCCTCAACTCATCTCTACCAGGGCTGTGTGATCACTTTCGCCCTGAAGCCACACATGCCTACAGTGACACGGTCTGGGTAACAATGTTAGAGGAGCACAGCTGGGCAGCTGCAGCTCAGTGTATAGTTGACCTGGTAAGCTTGGTTATCAGGTGTATCAGGTCTTCCCTCTCTGCATTTCCTTAAAAGACTCTCTCCAGAGCTTTCTTCCCTCCCCCCCTCCCCCGCCACACAAAAAAAATCTAAATTAGGTGATTTTTTTCTTTTTTGGAGGGCTACAATTCAGTGTGCCAACACTCACAGAAGTCATTTCAGGCCTCTTTCTAATCAGATAAAATTCCTGAGGAGCCAATGAATCAACAATTTCTAATAAACAGGAACATAAAGTCAACCCAAAGCCACATTACCAAATGCGCTGTCAAAGAAACAATATGTTTACTGAAAATAGTATCAAAATATTTTTAGTTGACTAAATGTTAAGACAAAAACAATTTTTATTCATTCCTTTTATTTCTTAAGTCTCAGGCATCCTTCTCAAATAAATGTCAACACTGCTAAAATTACACAGGAGGAGGGCAGAAATTGGATTTATCTGCCACAATATCTGGAAATATTTGAAGAGTTGCCTACAGACCAAATTTAATCACCATTTATTGTAAACATTACCCATTGGTTCAATATAGAGAACACATAAAAATGATATTTTCTAAAAATTCAGACTCTTAGTTGTGGAGATTAAAGAAAAAAATGACCAAAAATGATCGCTTTCTCTCACAGTAAGCTTTCCCTTTACACTATCCTATCAGAACCATCCTTTTGATTGCACAGCTTTAGTATTTATTTTAGCAAGTTACTAAATTAATTTATTAAATTAAAAGATGCAACATGAAATTTTAAGTCAAGTAACAGTCAATTTTTAAACAACTATTACAGCAAAATTTCTTGCAAACTTAGTATAAAATGTGATACAGTATCTCTACAAAGAGACTTAAAAGTGTTTTGTCACCCTCTAGGATTAGGGAAAAGGAAGGAAAGAAATTGAGAAAGAAAAGGTTACAGACCCAAATACTTCATTTGTAAGATTCCTATTCTCCCCCGATATAACAAGTACAGTGCCTTCCCTGTGACATACCAAAAAAGGACACTACTCCCACTGAATATTTTAAGGAATCTTATTAGACACGGTTCCACTTATTCTGCAATACACATATGTCCTTCATTCAAGAAATATTAAGGAGATCTACGAGTTATGAGGAATTACACTGAAGACAAAAATAGACCTTAAGTCTTGAATTTAGTGCAAGGGATAACATTTTATTTATTCTAGATGGTTTTTCCCTTGGCTTTATGAGAAAATATTAAACACAGACATAAAAAATCAGCATCAATGTTACAAATATTTATCTGCAAAACTGAAGTCCTATAACAAAAACAAATGAAAATCATGTATTTTCTTGAAGGCCTATTAAGTACCAAATGTGTGTCACTTTAAAGGTGGCAATAATACACTATTAAGCAATTTTCAGAATGTTCATCTCTGGGATATGAAAGCAACCATAATGCTAATTTACAGTCACTGATGATTATGAATAAGCACAATAAATGAATGACTTATGACCAATTATAGCATGGCATACATTTTTCTTACCTTTGTAATTACCAAATGCTAAATTCTCAAGCACAAGAAAGTTATCGCTATGAAAAGAGCATCAAAAAGGAAACTCAGGATAAAATACAAAAAAAGTGTACTACATATATAGTTGGTAAGCTTTCTTTCAATTTACCCCGAACAAAACAAAAGTAAACAAATCGATGAATACAATTATAACGTAATTAAGTTTTCAAATTGGGGTAACAATGGTTTATATCACTGTACATGTTTTAGGAGTACAGGTTCACATGCCTTCAAATGTATGTTATCACAACGCACCCACTGCAAAAGTACTAATAACCTCCACCAGACTCCACTGCGCCCCTTCTACCTTTTGCTCTCACCTCTTTCTTCCATCTGGTAACTTCAGTTCTGCAGTCAGAATCAAAGGTTTGTTTTGGTTTGGTTTTGTCTGTTTCTTTGCTTTGTAAAATGTAATTAGAAAGCCATATTCAAGCCATATCAACAAACACCACAAACAGACCTATTTAGCCAGCTATCAACACTGACATATTTTTAACCAGTCAAGTAGCTTTTAAAACAAAGCAAAACAACCATTGTAAAACAAATTTTAAAATTGTTAACAGAGTCAATTCTCAAAGATTCTAATCCTCAGTATTTGTTAGAACTGGGAGAGAAGTTTGAAAGTAAGATGCAGAATCTGTAGCTGCCTAGTATTAAATCGACATAATGTAAAAGCTTTTTGAATAACCAGTGCCATAAAGGAGCTTTATACAGCCTTTCACAGTTAAGGAATGTTGGAAAGTTGATAAGCACCGCCTTTTTTTTGAGGGCAAGATACAGGCCACAAGTTATTCGTATTCATACAAGACAAAACGTGTTGCCGCTGTTTCCTTGTGTGAGAACTCACGGATGACAAAAACCCTCTCCTTTGGAAAAGAAAACAGGTTGCACGTTGAGACATTCAGGCCTGTCTGAATAACATCACAAGGCTCTTCTTGACACGGTGGTGTTCTAGTATTGTGACTATGTGGCAAAAATCTATCGTACACATTCTAAAACATTTAGGGGAGTTTTCAGCAGAAACCACAGATCTGATTTCAAAGAGGAAGGCATAAATGAGCGCTTTCGCGAGAAAAGGGTGCCTCGCTGGACATCTGGAAGTTACTGATATAAAAGTGGCACTTTGCAGTTAGGAGAAAATTATTCTTAAGAGCAGGCTTGAGGCTATCCTAGCAAGGTAAACGTAAGGACCAACGTTTAGCTCCAACTATGTCACCATACAATACGCTGGAAGAAACAGATGTTCCATGGGGTAAATTTTCTGAAAGGTATGCACGCTAAACAATGAGCGATAACAGTCTCCCAGAGGATGCCGGGCTCCGGGATAAACTAAGTAAGAAGTAGCACCTTCAACATTATCACAGCTACCTAAGAAAGACAGACAAACAACGGCAGAGAGCCAGCTGCATCCCCACGCGAAAGCTTTCGGGCTTGTCGGGGTGAGAGCTGGGGCGGGGGCGGGGTGCTGGGGCGGGTTGGGCGGGTTCGGGAGAGGATTTGTCAGAACAGTGAAGTAATAAAACATCTCTTGGTCTCGAGTTCTCTGGTGATCCAAGCCTAGGGAGGGGGCGGCGGGAGCCCCGGGAAGTCCCCGGCCGGTCCCGGGTCCCCAGCGAGGGGCCGACCCCGCCACAGGTGTCAGCGGCGTGAGCCAGGACAAGGGTCTCGGCGCCGACAGCGGCGGGCGCCCGGCGGGACAGCGGGGGCTCGCAGCGCAGGCCCCGAGGCCCGCCCAGACCCGCCGGGGCCGGGGTCCCTCGAGCACCCGCGGGGGCCACTCACCTGGGGCGGCGAGGCTCCCGGGGTCCGCCCACCGCCGGGCGGAGGGGCAGGGTCGAGCGGGACTCGGGAGGCGAGGAAGGAGGGCCCGGCCCGGCCCCCCCGCAACACTGTCGGCCCCAGCACCGAAGGTCCAACCGCCAACAGCGCCCGGCGAGGCTCCGGCTGGTGGACAATTTGAAGGCAAACCCGCCGGGCCACTTCCGGCGCCGAGGACGGCCGCGACGGCGCGGGCGCACGCGGGGCGACGCCCCGGGAGCGAGGACGTCGGCGGCGCGCGCGCCCCGGCGCCGGGGGAGGGCGGGGCGGGAGCGACGGGCGCGCGCCTGCGCAGTCCAAGCCGCCGCCTCCCCGCGCAGCGCGGGGCGGGGGCGGTGGGGCCCTGGAGGAGTTTCACCTTCCTCACCTCGGCGTTTCCTGCTGGGTGCTTGCTTCCTTTTACTCTCGTGTGATTTTCATCACGTTGCTCAGAGGTTAGGAAGTCAGGGTGTCTATTTTATAGGTGAGTGTAAAGGCTCCAGTAATTCGTTTATGACAAATTCTGTTTTAGAAGCTAATTCTTCGACCGAGGTGTTAACAAAATAGGGAGGTGAGCAGAGCTTTTTGGACACGCTGCTGGGAGCGTTTTATTTTCTTATTTTAAATCTTTTTGATCACCAATCTAATACAGGCAACAAAAACAACATGATGCTCCACGATTTATGCGTTTCCAGTCTATCTCTATCCTTTAGCTCCACCTAAGGTGGAACAGAGATAGTTAAGACATTTTTTCCTTTAGGAGTGCATGGTAATTAAGTATCAAACTTTTTAGTATTTTCTTTTTTTAAAGATTTATTTCTTTATGCATACAAGAGCCGGGGTACACACCAGAGGTGTTGGGGGGTATGAGAGGATTCACCAGAGAGAATGGGGAACAGAACAGGCAGATCTACCGAAGCACACTGCTGAGAGGAGCAGCTGTTGAGGCAGGACAGGTCTGCTGCACCATGTGGGTTGCTCCCCGGCTGCAGGGGATCAAACTCCTGCTGCAGAGGCTGCAGACTGCTTCATAGGTTGCATCTTAACCAGATGTGCCACCAGGGAGGCCCCTATTTTATTTTTTTAAAGATTTATTTATGCATGCAAGAGCTAGGGTGTAGGCAGAGCTATAGGAGGGTGAGTGGATTCGCCAGAGACAGAGTGGGGAGTAGAACAGGCAGATCCACTGAAACACATTGCTGAGGGGAGCAGCCAGGGAAACAGGAGAGGTCTGCTGAGCCATGTGGGTTAGCTCCCTGGCTGGGATCTAACTCCCGCTGCATGGCTGCCAATAGCTTCATAGTGCGGAGACTTAACCCCTTGCACCACCAGGGAGGCCCAGGTATCTAATTTTAAAGAATCCCAGTAATTTAATACACCTAAAGATCATTCAAGTGAATATATCCATTCAATCCACAAATACTTAATAGAGCTGCTACTACAGGCCGGTTTGTCGTAGGCATTGGGCACATAGTGGTCAGCAAAATAGAACTATTTACAGAGCTTAAAGTGTAAATTTTTCTACTAAATAGAAAATAGTAGTTTTTGGCATGGTGGATATGAACTCTCTTGTAATGGAGTACGGGAAACCATAATGTCTTTTTGAAACAAAAACCCAGCTTAGGGGAGCCTCCCTGCTGGCACAAGGGTTTAAGCACAGCGCTTTGAAGCTGTCCACAGCCTCTGCAGCAGGAGTTTGATTCCCAGCAAGGGAGGTGACCCACATGGCACAGCAGACCTCTTCTGTCTCTGCCCCTGTTCCCCTCAGCAGTATTATATTTCAGTCAGTCTGCCTGATCTGTTCCCCGCTCTGTCTCTGGTGAATCCTCTCATCGCCCTCCCCCACCCACCACATCTGGCCTGTACCTCGGTTCTTGTATGCATAAATAAATTAATCTTTAAAAAAAAAAAACCTAGCTCAAGGAGGTTAAGATTAATTTTCCTTATTACGTTGAACCCCACTTTCATCTTTTAAGAGTGCAAAGGTATGCTGAAATACAAATACAACATAGTTTAAAAACTTCTCAAAGTGCACAAAATGAATACATATTGTATGATTCTATTTTTATAAAATTCTAGAAGGGCAAAGCTTTTATACTAATAGTGGTCTTTGGTTGCCAGAGATAGTTTAAGAGGGGATGCTGCAAAAAGGCACCTAAGTTTTGAATTTTTTCCCACTAGTTTTTCTGATTTAGTTCAATCATGTAATCTGTATCTTTGAGACAGACCTGCATCTACCTAGCATAATTTTGTAATTCATCCATGTTGTTGTGGGTGTTCATAGTTTATTCTCATTGCTGGGTAGTATTCCACACCATAAAGGCCCCCCCCCACCCCCATTCTCCTATTTATAAATAGCTCAGCTGTTTCTAGTTTCTGGCTATTGCAAATAAACCTGCTAGGGAAATTTTTGCACAATTCTGTGTGTGGATATAGGTCATCTGTTTCTTTTAAATTTATTGTATTTCTAGAAGAATTCCATTTTTTTTTAAAGATTTATTTATTTATTTATTTATACAAGAACCAGGGTACAGGCCACATTTGCGGGAGGGTGAGAGGATCCATCAGAGACAGAGTAGGGAACAGAACAGGCAGACTGACAAAATACACTGCTGAGGGGAGCAGCAGCGAGACAGGAGAGGTCTACCACGCCATGTGGGTCTCTCACCGGTCGGCTGGGATCGAACTGGTGCCGCAGAGGCTGTGGACAGCTTCATAGCACTGTGCTCAACCGCCTGCGCCACCAGTGGAGGCCCAAGAATTCTATTTTAATTTTATCCAGTGGCTTTAAAAAACATACAAGTGAAATAAGTCAGAAGAAGGAAGACAAATACTGGATAAGTTCACTCATATGGAATATAAAGAAACAAAACAAAGGCACATAAAAACTAAATCAAAACAAATTCTAGAGCGCCTCCGCGGTGGTGCAGCGGTTGAGTGCTGGGTTGCGAAGCTGCCCGCAGCCTCTGCAGCGCTAGTTCGATCCCCGGCCTGGTGAGGGTCCCACGTGGTGCGCAGACCTCCCCTGCCGTCCGCTGCTCCCCTCAGCAGTGTACTTCGGTCCTTCTGTCTGTTCTGCTCCCTGCTCTGGCTCTGGTGAATTCTCTCACCCTCCTGCACTTCTGACTGTACCCAGTGCTTGTATAAATAAATAAATAAATCTAAAATAAATAAATAATAATAAAAAAGACGTATGCAAAACAAATTCTAGAAATATGATTTAGAAGTGAAACTACTACAGTGGAGAGCAAAGGGTAAGGAGCAAAGAGCAGGAGACTATCCCTATGGTGGAGGATTATGGCAGCTTTCATGGTGGGTGTGATGTGACAACACATATCTGAAGAGGAGTGACCTATTCTAAACTACCTGCAGTGTTGTAAACCAATGTTTTCTCAATTAAAAAAGATATGGGAAATAAATTAATAAAAATTTAAAAAGAAATATATGCCAGGTATATCATTATAAATTTATCTACTAGCCATATTGAAAAAAAGGTGAAAAATAATTTCAGTAGTATATTTTACTTTACCAACTGATCCAAAACATAATTTTGACATGTCATCAACAAAAATGAATTTTTTCCATTTTTACACTAAATTTTTTTTACCTTTTTTTAAATTTTTTTAATTTAAATTTTATTTTTATATTTCCCATACAATTACAACCCCCTTATTTTGACCCCAACCCCTCCTTTCCCCGCCCCCAACCCCCATAGAGTGTCTCTGGTTCATAGTTGTTTGTTGATTTAGATATTTTCTTTCTTATAGTTATTATTTTTCCTGGTCCCTTATTTGGGTTTTCTAAACTCCTGCTATGAGTGAGACCATCTGGTATTTTTCTTTCTCTTTCTGGCTTATTTTGCTGAGCATGATCCCTTCCAGCGCCATCCATGTTGCTGCAAATTGCATGTGTTTATCTTTTTTGAATGCTGAGTAATATTCCATGGTGTATATGTACCACATCTTCTTGATCCAGTCATCTATTTTTGGGCATTTGGGTTGTTTGCAAAGCTTAGTTATTGTAAACAGTGCTGCTATAAACATAGGGGTGCAGGTGCCCTTTGGAATTGATGTTTCTGTGTCCTTTGGGTAAATACCTAGGAGTGGAATTGCTGGAGCCTATGGAAGCTCTATGTTTAGTAGGTCCAGAAATCTCCACACAGCTCTCCATAGTGGTTGGACCAGTTTGCACTCCCACCAGCAGTGCAGGAGAGTTCCTTTTTCTCCACATCCTCGCCAATATTTGTTGTTACTAGTTTTTTTAATATGTGCCATTCCCGCTGGTGTAAGATGGTATCTCATGGTAGTTTTGATTTGCATTTCCCTGATTACAAGTGATGTTGAACATTTTTTCATATGCCTGTTGGCCATTTGCATTTCCTCCTCAGAGAAGTTTCTTTTTAGCTCTTCTGCCCATTTTTTTGACTGGATTATTTTCTTTGTTTTTGTTGGGTCTCATCAGCTCTTTGTAGATTTTTGTGATCGGTCCTTTATCATTATACACTAAATTTTTTAAAGACTTATTTATGCATACAAGAATTGGTGTGTACGCCAGCGGTGTGGGAGGAGGGTGAGAGGATTCACCACAGAGAATGGGGAGCAGAACAGGCAGATCTACTGAACAAGAACAGGAGAGGTCTGCTGTGCCATATGTGGATTAGCTCTCTGGCCCAGAATCGAACCCAGTCCAGTGGTGATAGTGCTCAGACTTAACTCCTTGACCATAAGGAAGGCCTGATTTTCTGCAGTTTGAAAGTATTATCCTGTCTAATATTCTCTGGGTTTCATGGATCTCTGGTTTAATGCCTGTCATTAATTTTAGGAAATTCTCAGCCATTACTAAGTCAAATATTTCTTCTTTTTTCTCCTTCCGACACTATGCCAATGTAACACTTTTTGTAATTGTCCTGTTCTTCGATATTCTGTTACCTTTTTTTTTTTTTCTTTTTGCTCTTCAGTTTTGGTGTGTGTGTGTTGTTGTTTTTTTAGCATATGTCCCATTCATCATAACAAGTTTATTAAGGAAAAGAGAAGATGGAGAGACACCTGCATGGACCCAGGTGGACAGTCTTAAAGGAAAACTGCTTGCTCCTCAGTTTTGGAAGTATCTATCCACTTACCTTCAAGCTGATTCTTTCCTTAGCCCTCTTCAGTCTACTTATGGAACCCCCAAGGCTTTCTTCATTTGTTACAGTGCTTTATATTTCTAGAATTTCCTTTTGATTCTTAAGAGTTCACATCTTTCTGCTTACCTTACCCATCTGTTCCTGCATATTGGGCATTTTTTTCCATTAGCGTTCTAATCATAGCTACTTATAATTCCTGGTCTGGTTATTCTAAAGTTTCTGTTCTTTCTGAGTCTAGTTCTCATACTTAATTTGTCTCCCAAGTTGTGGGGATTTTTTTGTTTTGTTTTTGCCTTTTTATATGCTTTGTAATTATTTTTTTGTTGAAAACCAGATATTTGGGTAAAGGGAGCGGAAGTAAATAGACCTTTAGTGTAAAGATTTATATTTATCTGGTTAGGAACCAGGATGTTACTGGTTCTAATTTTTGTTCTAATTTTTGTCTCTTATATAGTCTTTGGATTTCCCTTCTTTCCCCTTGATGGGTGTTTTGAGTTTCTTGAACCTGTAAACTTCCGTCCTTCACCAAATTTAGAAAACTCCGGACCAATATTTTTTCAAATAACTTTTCTGCCCTATCCGTAACAAATACATGTATCTTATATCTTTAGGTTTTTATCTCAAATATCCTTGAGATTTTGTTCATTTCCAATCTTTTTTTCTTTGTTCTTCAAAATGTAAAATTTCTATTTATCATCTTTGAGTTTTATGGACTTTTCCCTTTGTCATAGCCATCAGATACTGTATATTTCTAGAATTACCTTTTGGTTTTCTTACAGTTCCTATTTTCTGAGACTTATATTTGCTTATGAGAATAATTTTACCATTTCAAAGTTGTAAGAGATGTTGCATTATCTTTGCCAATTCCAGATATACTGATTTTTTCTGTTAAGTCGTATCCTTATATATCTTGGTATGGCAGTGAATTTTATCTTGGATTGAAAATGTTATGTTGAAGATACTCTAGATTCAGTGAGATGCCTCTGGAGGTGTTTTTTCTGTTTTGTTTTAGTTAAGCAGTTAACTTGGTTTGGCTGTCTGCAGAGCAGCATCTCAAAATTCACTTAGTTTTTATCTGTAAGATAGTATGCTTGGATTTCTCCCCACAGCACATGGTTAATGACTCAGCTAGAGACTTCTTGCCCACGATACAATGAAAATAAGATGCTCATTTAGTGCCATTCTTCTTTTTCAAGGGTTGACTGCCATCCAGAATCTGCCTGCTCTTGTTTTCTAGTATCGTCGGGTAGTTGTATTTTTGTTTTCCAAGTTTATGGTTGTTATATGTGATAAAGTCAATCCATTAGAACCTTATTTGGCTACACTAGAAGCAGAGATATCATTTAAGTAGGCCCTTTGGGTAACAGGCTGGATAATAAATTTGAGGGACCAGAATGAAGTAAAAGACACCTGCTAGAAAGTTATTCTAATAATTTGGGCAAGCTGATGAGGGCCTCAACCTAATCAATAACAGGGATAAAGATTAAAGGAAAACTGAAGAGGTAAAATAACTGGATTTCATGGTTGATTGCACAGATTACCAAAATACAAAATTACCTCCTTAAATTATTTTCCAAGTCATATTATATACTAATACAAATTATAGACTATAATGCAGTTTAGCAATAGTAACAAATGGAAATGTGTATTTAATCTAACATTCTGTAGTTCATCAGTTGAGGTTAGACAGATAGCCATCTTCACACAATCTTTGAGGTAATCAGGTTTCTATTCATTTTGGTGATCCTTCATTACGTGGATATTTTCCCAGTTTTCATAGTCAACAAAGTCTACTCTGTCCATGTTCCGTGCTTGGTAAAAGGGAAAGAGCAAGTAGAAGGCAAAGTGTAAGAAGTATAATTTGCACACATCACACCTGCTCATATGCCAGTGGCCAAAACCAGTTTATGTGGCCACACCTAATAACACGGTATGGACTTATAATTACATGGGTTCTAGTGGCTGCAAAACTTGGACAGGAATGGATACTCTATTAGGAAAACAAAGATTGAGAAAAGGAAGATGGAGACAATGAAAATTATACACTTGAAACTTATGTTATAGTGTTATGGAGAAAGAAGGAGGGAGAGGGAAAGGAGGAGAGAAAGAGTGGATGCTGCGGAAGAAGCGTGGCCACTGTCATCAGTTAATCCCTCTGGGATCGGGGGAACTCATGAGCACGCCAGATCTGCCACAGAACATACTCCATCTAACCCCTCTCCAGGCGAAGCAAGCCCAAGTTCTACCCAGATTCTGAGCCTAGCAAGATTTCAGGATCTCTGGGTGACAATACTGAAAGGAAGGCATTAATATTAGGAAGATAACAACTGCCTGTTTCAAACATAAATTTTTGACAGCCTCCCTCTATCCTTCACACACAGAAGTTACGTTTTTGTGTGTGTGCTTGGCTTTGACATCTCAAGGTATAGCCACATATTTTAAGCATGCCAAACATGGGTCCACAATGTAGGAATATGAATCATAGGAATAATGCAATTTTCATCCACTATACAGCAGTCAAATGTAAAACAAATATAATTCTGTAAGGGAGTCCAAGCAAGAAGATAAAAGGAAACCTCAGAATGATGGAAATACTTGCAAAAAAGCAGGGGGAGGGGGAACCCTTGGTATTTACTCATTTGTACAAAGTTGATTTAGATATAGCATCTATCATTTTATCTCGTAGGCAGTTCATGAGATGCTTGTAAATAAAGGAAATTGATTTACCAACTTCAGATTTAAATAAATTATAAACTGGACTAAAATAATACCAAATGTGACATTTAATCATTAAAAAGCTTTAAATCTCTGCTGATCTAAATGAAGACTTTAACATGAACTATTTGTTATACTTACATTGGACAAAATGAAATTTTGTGGTTACACTAATATAATCTATTCAGTTTATCTTACCCTAAGAAGGTACGTATTTTAATTCAAGATATCCACTTTTTAAGCATAAATTTTCTCTGAAAATAAAAAGGGTGAAATAAAATTTTGAAAGAAAAATATCAACATATTTAAGTGACTTAAAAGTCAGCTTTCCACACATAATTGAAAGTTGAATTTTTTTTAATTATCCCAGCAAATGTTACACTAGAGAAAATGATTGGGAAAATACAAATAGATTCATTAAAAACACAGGGTGATTATTTTTATCTATTACATTCAAATATGCAAAACAATTTAGTTATATTGCAAAGCTGTAATTCCTTTTCCTAACAAAGCATTATTTTATAAAACGGTAGTGTTGTCAATGATTCAACTTTAATACAAAATACTTATATACATAATACAATATAAAAGTAAACTGTGGTATAGTGCCTTCCACAAAGGGAAATATTAAGGCGCTTTACAAATACACCAATATGTGGACCCAAATTACTTTTTGCTTTAGATTAAAACAAACAGGTTAAATGTTTCACTTTAAATAGCAAAGGGATTTTTCTTTATCTTTGTTTATTAAAGAGAAATTTCTAAAGTACCTTAGGTAACAGCAGCAGCAATATCTAAAAATCCTCCCACTGTAGTCTCTAATTTCTAACATATTATTTAGTCAGAATAAAATATTTCCACTCACAGTTTTGCACTTTACAACAGCAGAAGATAACTTTTTTAAAAAGTCAATCTCAAAGTGACTTCTTAGTCATACATTCTATAGTTTCTATTACAAATAAGGTAGAAAAGATACAGCAATAGGGCCTGCCTTAGGATGTCACTGGACAATACATAACAGTATCTACAGTTACATAATTATAGAACACATTTTATAAATACTATTAATATGCATAAAAGGGGTATAAGAAAGACAGCAAGTTTTTTAATGAGTGGGAAAATTATTTTTAAAAGAAAACATGTATAACCAATGTTTTCACTCCATTTCAGTTGAGAACATACAGATTTTTTATGTTGTCTTCATCTTTTGGGGTCAGAACAAACCAGATTCTATAATGGAAGAACTGAATATAGTCTGGGAATAAGAAAATGAAAAAGCATATCCAAACTATTAAAGCTGCAGTTATTAAAGGCTGTACACAGCATCAGAAAAACACACAAAAAGCTTACACTGTCAAGAGGAAATTTTGAAAGAAAACAAAATTTGTAGTGTTTGTTGTATTGGAGGAGTTAGGGCAACAGAGAAAGCACCTTAGTTTTCCTAAGACGTTAAGTGTAACAAGTTGGTTCTGTATACTGCATTGCACCATATCCAGAAGTAAAACAACTAAATGGAAACAACTCTGAGAAAGTTTGAAGAGCAAGAAAGTTTAAAAATGTGTTTTGAAATAAAAATTCTTGAATTTGTTCTGCATAGGATTTTAGAGGATTAATCAGATGTTCCATACGACTGCCATCTCATTACAGTGCATTTTCTTAAAATTCCCCGATTAGAAGTTTAGAATATTTCTCTATCAAGCCTGTGAAAGCCAAACTTGTATTTCTGTGCTCTCCAAAGGCTTTATTTAAATGATCTTAGTACTGTACCAGCAAGGGTTATAGGTAGATTTGCTGTAAGTTCTTTACCACAGCATTTTCTCCACAGACCTAATTGGTCATAAGGCAACTGTGCTATGAAGACAGATAAAATGGTTTCAGCTGGCAAAATACTCCCATTTTTACAGCATATAAATCTTAGCCTTCATAATAACCTGTAAGTGATGAGTAGACATGATGATCTAAAAATGATAGATAACAGGATTTATCGACTAGATCAGAAAATACAATAAAATTTACCGGGAAAATAACATACCACTTTGCTAGTCATTTGGTGAGCAGTCATTGCTCCTACCCATCAAAACCAAGTTTGCCAAAGTATGGCAAATAGAAAAGAGATGGGTAGTAACTTACAATCTTAAAGAGCATTATCAGTTCTTTAGCTAACTTACCTAAGTTAACTTGAGCGAACTTAGATACAATATCTTCAACAAATTTATTAACAGATGAATTTAACAAAGATTAAATGCTTAATAATGGTGTTTTTTTTCCAGTTAGTGGTATTGATAGCTTTACTGAACTGATAGATGACTATCATTTACCCCAAGAGAACTGGTTTCTTAGTTTGAAAAACACTACATTGGAGGAGAGAGGCTTAGAAGAGCTTTGAAGGTCCAGAGTTGAACCCACATTTCACATCTACTTTGGAATGTCTATCAAATGACATGGGATGTTATGCCAAGAACAGCCAGCCTAGGCTTTCATAACAATACACAGCATGGTTATAAATATGCATACTCCCATATACACACGTATATACATGTATCTATGAGAATGCAACCTAACTTTACACTGTATGTCATATTTTCAGTAAGTTTTATTGCCGTATTTTCTATCAAGTCACTATATGTAGTAGATATCATCTAGTACTTTTAATATCAGCATATCTACTCTCTCTGTATAGACCAAACCTGAACCCAAACTGTCAATCAATCAGTTACTTTTTATAGCAAAATTAGTGAAAATGCTATGGTGAAAATGCTTGCAGCAAAGAACTTAGTGATTTTAACAGACATGAACAAAAGAAAGGCATTCACAGGGATATCTTATACAGAACCTTTCCATCACAAATCATCAGTGTTTATACAAGATGTGTTGATCTGAGTATTGATCAATAAATTTAGAGCAAAGTTCTTAGCTTGTGACAGGTTTCAACGCATCCATGATCCCTAGAACTGCATGCATTATTTGACGTGTATCTGTTGATAGTATTTTTCTTGGAAGAGTTGTCATTTTTCATCAGATTCTAAAAGGATTAATGACCGAAAGACCCACCTTACACTATGGGGCTACAAAGTGTTGTTTATAAGCTAAGCTGAGAGGGCCTCTTACAAGAAAGTGGGGAGTGTGGGCTAATATAAACCTTTCCCTCCCCCCATTTCAATTGAAAAAAATTGTTTTGTCTTTAATTTTACTCACATCCATGGTCTTTGTTAACTTTTAATCAAGAAAGCTAAAAGTCTGAAAATCGCTAAAATTATCCTCTTATTCACAAAAAAATGTTTTGATGAAATAATTCCCTATAGTGGAGCTTAAGGAAATAAAATACAAATTTTACTGATGTCGGAGCCCTGTCCCCCCACTTCCTAAAAAATAAGCTAAATGTATCTTAGGAAATCATGAGTATCCCTTGAAACCTAAGCATTAGATTTTCCATACATGCAGCACTGTTCAGAGAGGGAACTATAACATTACTGACAAAACTGTCACTATATAGGTAAAACACTTTTCTAGTGACTACCTACAAATAATTCTAAGTTTCATATGAAACTAAAATAATATCTCTGCTTAGGATGGTGGAAGATTTTTGTTTTTATGTTTTTAACTTCCAAGTAGAAATATTAAAGATCTTAGCTTTTAGTATCAAATTTTTATTTAGGGGAGAGTCTTCCCTTTTAAAACTGGAAGCAGCATTAAAAATAATCAATGGGCATGCTGGAAAACATTATTTAACCTTAAATTATTTAGAAGGATTTCAATTTTCTAAGACCACAAAGTAATTTTTCCTAATTACAAATGGCCACCTTAATTAATAGTTAAATAGTTTTTCACCAATTAATCTGCCCTTACGTCAGATATGCCCTTAGGAAACAAAAGAAAACTGTGAGTGCTGTGCTTCTTTTGAAGTCAGTAATTCTGGAGAAATACATGCTAGAAGATTAAATATTCTACAACATTATTTTTCCTTCTGATGAACATAAGTTTTAACCCTGGATTTCTTGGTTTAAAGGTGTGAATTACAAAGATTATCATTAGCCAAGGAATGCTTTACCACCATAATGGTTTAATTTTTATAGGTGACTCTGTACCAAAAACAAGGTTTGGGGGCAGGAGGAAGAGCTCTGTAAATATGGGGTATGTTTCATATTTGGTTAAAGCAAGGTAAAACTAAAACTGTCTTTCAGGAAAATTTCAAAAACTCTTTAGTCTTTTAAAATTATTTAGCATATGTACAAATAGATACCAGGCTTCTCCTTTTAAACAAAGCACTATTTTAAAGTACTTTAAGTACCAAGAACTGACTATAATACTCAGTTCATAATTTACTCTCTTTATAACAATTTTTTTCTAAATTACTGATTAAAAAAGCTGGAATAAATTAACATTTTAAAAGGACTTCCCATAATTTAGGAACATAAAATATTGTACACAGAGCACACATAGATAGCTCTGTTACATTTGCATAACTTTACACTCAGAGCCTCAAAAAACCCTGGGTTTCAGGCCTTTTTTCAAATCCTCATCACAATTACTCCTAGTGTATTAAACATAAACTAAATCAATATTTTTGATCTCTGAGCCTGAGTGCTGATCGTCTTCATCTGACTGTTGCTCTGAGCCTTGTGAGTTAATATATTCATATTCAATAGGCTTTGGATAATTATAAGGGTAGCCGTTGTCATCAAAAAACCTCCGAAAAGTGAATTCATAGAAAGCATGTTCAGGATGCTTTCCATTTTTATACCATCCATTGAGAGTGTCATTTATATTTTCTTCTTCATTATCATCACTCCATAACTTATCAGGATCAACAGGATCAAAATTTGATGTATCTGTTGGGTGTGTGATTTTAGGAATGTATGAAGCAGATTGCTGTCTAAGGTCACTGGAGAAATCAATTGTTTTAAAAAATGGATGAGCTTTTATTTCATCAGCACCATTTTTGCCTAAGCGATCTTCTGGTCCTCGGCAAAGTTTGATAATAAGATCAGAGGCTTCAGGACTCAGTTTAGCTTGTGGTGGAATGTGAAGAGATGTTTGCCAGTTGATAACCTTTAAAGAAGATTATTTTAATTAGCAGAGATGAGATACATAAAAACAAACATTTCTTCCAAATTTTATACCAAAAAGTCTTACTGGACTATGTATTTTTAAAGTAAAGTGCACGCTGTTTTCACCTTCCATACTTTTAATAATGAATCACTGATGGGAAATAACCTTCACTCCCATCCCTTCTTCTCCAAGCATCTTTTACTCATCTTACAGGATTCACTGTAAAATTCAGCTCCCCTGTTAAGTCCTTCTCTCTATGTTAGAAATGGCTATTTCCATTGTCCCTCCCGTTATATTTACTTCTGTCACAATGGCTCTAAATATGTTGTGGTACCTCTTTATATCTATGTCCTCCTGCTATAATATAAAATTCCCTAAGGCTATAGATCATGCTTTATTTGTCTTTGTTATTTCTCAGTGTTTGGCAAATTGCCTGACATAATTAATAGATATTCAATAAATATTTATTCTGGTTTTGAATGAACTGGAACAAGCAAGGGAGAGAAAAAGGAGGAAAGGTAATAGTCAATAAATATTTGTTCGATAAATGAATAAATGAACCCTACTCTTCTTTATTTGTATAGGAGCTTTTCAGCTACTGTAGAGAAGAAAAATAAATCCCTTCTTCTAGTACTTGTTCATCTTAAAGTCTTTTCCTAGATTAGAAAAAGGAGTTACAACAACTAATAATAAAACATTTCTTTCAAAATTTTGGGGAAAAATATCACAATTTAAGTTACTTATTCCTCATTCTACTACCAATTTCAAATAGGAGAATGAAAATACACAATCAGTTAAAGAAGTTTTTCACTTTTTTAAAAAAATATTTATCTTTATTTATTTATGCATACAAGAACTGGGGTATAGGCCAGAGATGCAGGGGGTGAGCGGATTTACCAGAGGCAGAGTGGGAAGCAGAACAGGCAGATCTACTGAAATACACTGCTGAGGGGAACAGCAGGCAAGACAGGAGAGGTCTGCAGAGCCATGTGGGTTAGCTCACTGGCCAGGAATTGAACTCAAGCTGCCACAGCAGCTGGCGATAGCTTGATAGCACTGAGACTCTAACCCCTGAACCACCAGGGAGGCCCCAGTTTTTAACTTTTCATTGTTAAGTGACATTTAGGACTTTTTCTGTTTAAGGTAAAAATACAAAAACAAAAAACAAAACACATTAAGCATAGTAAAATAGAAAGAGTCAATTAATTCAAAGATGGAACAAGAGAAACTAATACAAACTGAAGCACAAAAAGAAAAAATAAACAAAAAAGGGTTATATAGGATAACACCAAATTTCTCTACCAAATGTATACTAACTGGAGTTCCAGAAGGAGGGAAGCAGAAGCAATCTTTGAAGATGAAATGACAGGGAATTTTCCAAAATTGATGAAAGTCACCAACCTAAATCCCAAGAAGCTTTGTGAACCTCTATCGAGAAACTAAGAAAACTACACAGATTTATATGATCAAATGGCAGAAGACCAAAGTGAAACAGAAAAAACCCTCAAAGCAGGCAGAAAGAGAGGGTCCAATCTAAAATGTAGTGGGTATGCCCTGTCTTTTCTACTGAGGGGAGCCAGACAACCTGGATAGAGTGCATGGAGCAGTGACTTGAGGGCCCTCAAAAGTAAACAGTAATAGGCAGATTATAGAAGAAGGTAAGATTTGAACACTACCAAACCTAGGTGATTCTACCAATTCTTCCCTGGCCTAGACTCTAAATAGCCCAAAGTGAGGAGGTATACAGCATAGCCTGAGGGGACTCCAGAAAAAAACCCTCTAGTTCAGGCTCAAGGAGTGGGACAGGTATTTCATGGCAGCTACAGAGGTATAAGAGACACTTCAAATTCTAAGATAGGGAACCTTCTTCTCCAATTGGATATTAAATCACATAGCACGCAGTCCCCGAGAGGGAGGATCAAATCACTGTTGCTCAATGTGTCCTCTTACCACCTTGTTAAATGTAGAAGAGGTAAATAAAGTCTCCTATACTGATTAAAGAACTGAAAAGGGGAGTGAAAGGAACTGGAAAAGACCAGCAGAGAATGAGCAGCTTGGAAAACTTAACTCATGAGATAATTAATGAACTGCAAGGCTTACCCCCAAGGTGACCTATGTAGATCTAACCCTAAAGAACATATAAAAAACTTTGACAACTGAACTAAGGAAGAGACCACAGCCCAGGGAGAGATTTGTTTATGCAAAGATTCTGAAAATGAAACTCATATTGAACTCATAAATCACAAAAGGATGGTTAGAATTTGTGATCAGAAGCCAATCAGGTTTAATCCCCACCAGAACAATATCAATATTCTCCATAAGATTTAACAAAATGGGGCCTCCCTGGTGATGCAGACAGTTGAGTGCAGCACTGTGAAGCTGTCCGCAGCTTCTGCAGCGCAAGTTTGATCCCAGCCCGCCGGGGAGATACACACATGGTGCGGCAGACCTCTCCTGTCCCTCCCACTGCTCCCCTCAGCAGTGTATTTCAGTCAGTCTGCCTGTTCTGTTCCTCGCTCTGTCTCTGGTGAATCCTTTCACCCTTCTGCACATCTGGCCTGTACCCCGGTTCTTGTATGCATGAATAAAAAAAAAAATCTTTAAAAAAAAAATCATTTAAAAAAAAAAGATTTAACAAAAGGGGGCCTCCCTGATGGCGTAAGGGGTTAAGCACAGCACTGTGAAACTATCTGCAGCCTCTGCAGCACGAGTTCGATCCCCGGCTGGCCAGGGAGCTACCCACATGGTGCAGCAGACCTCTCCTGTCTCGCCCGCTGCTCCCCTCTGCAGTGTATTTCAGTCAAATCTGTCTGTTCCCCACTCTGTCTCTGGTGGGTCCTCTTTACTACAATGAAAACAGAAAGTGCAGAATGGAGATGTCAGAGGACAGAATTAGTAAACTTGAAGATACAGAAGACATTTTGAAACACCAAGGATCCAAGAAAAGAAAGAAAAATTCTAAAGATCTAGGTCAATATGACTACACCAACCTTGAGTCCTTTCACATAAATGGTCAAAAACAAAAACTGTAATGCTATTAAATAAGGTTATAAATATATATGTATATAACATATAACTATAACATAAAGGTAGAGAATTAAGGGACCTACATGGTAGTGGGGTTTCACATTGATCTTGAAGTGAGTAAAATGTCAATTCTAAGTTTTTCTCTACTCAGAGTATTTTTTAATACTTAAAAAAAAAAGTATGGTTTTGAAGGATAGGTCTTCCTAAGACATATCACTTTAACATGTGGATTATTTTTAGTTAAAGTCAATCAAGGCCCTGAAGACTGAAGAGCAACTTCTCAGCCCTTTAATGATTTAGGAGAATGAAAATTTGAGGATATTACCCAAGTTTAGGGTTATCTCCAGACAAAACCTTTCTTTTGAAGAAACCCATCTATGTGGCAGGGCAAATGGCTAAGTACACACATCTGGTCCTTTTCTCATGAAGTTCTCTTTTAAATGGGACAGTGTGTGTTAAAATTATGGGTAGCTTCTCACTAAGTGCCAGAAGTAATTTCAAGTGGAAAAACAGACATTTTTGTTAAAGATTTGAATGTGCATGGAAGGAAACAAAGCCCAAGGGCAGTGAAAGACAATCAACTAGAATAAATCTGCAAAATGTATAAGACTTATATGAGAATGAAATATGAGTATAGTATATATGTGCAAATGAGTTGCAGTTCATTTGTGAAATTTAAATTTAAGTGGGCTCCTCTATCCTTACAAATTCATTTCTTACTCCCAGATTAAGATATTCTAAGGGCTGATAAAGGTCCAGTATAGGAACCTGTGATAATTCTTTTGGTATAAATTCTATACCTTACCTTCATTTGCGTTTCCAACGGTGTTTGTGCCAAGAAAGGAGGTTGTCCCACCAACATTTCAAAAAGAATTACACCAACACTCCACCAATCACATAATTGTGTGTAGCCTAAAATAAGATACCAAAGGTAGTTATTTGTAAGCACTTTTAAAAGAACACTCAAGAATTACTGTACTCAAAATCAATGTATCACCAATTTATACTATATACTACAAAATTAATGCTTTTATTATAAACCTGAAACAGGGCCTCCCTGGTGACCTAGTCTCAGCACAATCACCTCTAAGGCCTGAGTTCGACCCCTGGACAGGGAGCTCACCCACACATCCCTCAGCAGATCTCTCCTGTCTCGGCCTCTGCTCCCCATAAAAGTGTATTTCAGTAAATCCGCTTGTTCTGCTACCCCACTCTGTCTGGTGAATCTTCTTACCCCACATCCCCACCTGCACCTCTGGCCTACAGCCCAGTTCTTCTATGCAAAAAGAAATAAAAATAAAAAATAGGGCCTCCCTGGTGGCGCAAGGGATTAAGACGCAACCTATGAAGCTATCCACAGCCTCTGCAGCATGAATTCGATCCCCAGCTGGCCAGGGAGCAACCCACATGGCGCAGTAGACCTCTCCTGACTCGTCTGCTGCTCCCCTCAGCAGTGTACTTCGGTCAATCTGCCTGTTCTGTTCCCCACTCTGTCTCTGGTGAATCCTCTCACCCCCTGTACTTCTGGCCTGTACCCCAGCTCTTGTATGCATAAATAAGTCGCTCTAAAAAATAAATAAATAATAAACCTAAAGATAGGCATGTACTAATATAAATTCCAGTTGATCTAAAGGTTCACTGACATTATTTATGAAACAAAACTTTTACCTGTTCGTAATAGTACTTCAGGGGCAATATAATTGGGAGTCCCAACCAAAGAATGTGCTAGACATCGCTGGTGCTGGCGTGCAGCTCTCCGCTCTAGTGGCTTCAGTCTATCTCCACATCGACAGTTAGAGGGGTCACCCCATTCATTACTGAAATCCATGCTATCTTGCCGTGCATGGTCACCTACAGAGTTAAAAAAAAGAAATAAAAAGCAATAAGATCAAGAGTCAACCTAAAGTCTGTTTATCTGTTATTAATGGTTTTGTTAACAAATTAAAATATAAAGAATGCCAAATCTCTGAAGGCATTTACTATTAATTATAGCCTGTACTCTGAGATACCAACAGAAAAAGCTTTACATTAAGAAAAATTATCTTAAAATTCAGTAGAAGTCATGAGTAGGTAGCACAGAGAATCTGTTATTCAGGCTGCTCCATACTGCTACTCTGGACAAACTCTGAAACAAATTTAACTCCATTATTTCTTTTATTCAACAAATGATAATGATAAAAAAGATATTCTCTCATTCAGCTTTTCAGCAAGGGAAAACACACAACAAAATAAACAAGAAACAAAACGATGAGTCTCACACAATCAACATGGGTGATGCACTAGGGTGACTTGGGTAGACTGAGATGACATCTGTAAAAAACAATTATTTGAAAATTGGGACAAGACATCCTACATAGAAACAACAGCAGAGGAGACCAGCATGATTAGTGAGAGGGAGAATGTTGGGAAATGAATGTTAGTACACATGGATTTTGTAAGCGAATGGAATGGCCTGCCTTTGATTACAAGTAGAGCAGAAAGCTGTTGGAAAGCACAAAGCAAGACGATGGTAAGATCTGATTTATGTTTAATAAGGAAGTCTGCTGTGTAGAGAATAGATTCTAAGGAAGACAAGAGTGAGAGACCAATTAAGAGGTTATTACAGTTAATTTGGACTATCATAGTAGAGTGGAGATGTAGAGAAATGATATATTTTGAGGTGGAATAAGCAGGAGTTACTGAAGAATTAGAGTGGAGAGTATGGGGGGGTAAAAGAAGGATAACCTGATGGGTACAGTGGTACAATTTATTACTAAAATGGGGAAGACAGAAGGGGGAAGCAGCTATAAAAATTTGCAAACATAGAAGGGAGAAATAAGAATTATTTATTGAAATGTCAAGTTTGAAAAGCCTTTTAGAAATTCGTGTGAAACAGGCCATTTCTGAAGGTAGAGATTTGGAAGTCACTGATACAGAGATGGTACTTAAACCTATGACTGGGGCCTCCCTTGGTGGCACAGCGGTTGAGCGCTGGGCTGCGAATCTGCCCGCAGCCTCTGTAGCACCGGTTCAATTCCCGGCCGCTGGCGAGAGTCCCACATGGCGCGACAGACCTCTCCTGCCGCGCCTGCTGCTCCCCTCAGCAGTGTATTTCGTCAGTCTGCCTGTTCTGTTCCCCACTCTGGTGAATTCTCTAACCCTCCTGTGCTTCGGACTGAACCCAGTGCTTGTATAAACAAATAAATAAATCTTTAAAAAAATAAAATAAAATAAAACCATGACTGGAAGAAATTACCCAATGAAATAAGTATGTAATTAACCTAACTATAATAAACCCCTGGCATGTTTGATTAAAATGCAATTTTTACCCTCCAGTGAATATTTCCAATCAGAAGACTAGAGTAGAGCCTAAGAATCTTATTTTTAAAAACCCCAAGTAATTCAGTTGAATCTGGGGAACATTAAATTACCGCACACTGATCATTAAAGCAGATTCAGGTCGCAGTTCTATCCATTTAATGTCAATCTTCATGTGTTCACAGAAAACTAACAATACCTCTGAGGAATGTTGTAAACTTTAACTTAGAATATATGTAAAGCACCAGGTCATAGTAAGTATTCCACAAAAGTCAGACTGTAATGACTTACACTTCCATTAGGGCTTGAAGGGATCTTGGTTAGACAGTGTGGTGTAGCAGAAGTAACATGAGCCCTGTAATCAGATGAACCTGGGCTCAAAGCCTAGCCCTTACACTTATTTTCTGTCTGACCCTGGACAACTAAGCCTGAGTTTCTTCACCCTCCTCATAAAGACATTGTAAGGTTTAAACAGAATCAGGTATATAAAGATTGTAAGGCTAAGTAAGGTGTGGGACAGTCATACAATGGAACTCTAAATAGTGAAAACAAATGTTATCTGAAATGACACTGATGAATCTCAAACACATAAAATGGGTCAACATAGGAGGATACATATACAATGATTAAATTTAAATAAAGGTTTAAGCATAGACAAAATGAAATAGTATATATACATCTGTGGTAAAAGTATAGAGAAAAGTAAAGAACTGATTATGAAGTTGTGAAATAAAGGTTTCCTGTGCGGAGGAGAAGGGGAAGTGATAATGAAGAGTTTCAGAAATACTAATAATCTAGTTTTTAAACTGAATGGTAGGTATGGGGCTTCATTTAAAAACCATTTTTAGGGCCTCCCTGGTGGTGCAAGGGTTAAGACGCAACCTATGAAACTATCTGCAGCCACTGCAGCACAAGTTCAATTCCCGGCCAGCCAGAGAGCAACCCACAAGGCGCAGCAAATCTCTCCTGACTTGCCTACTGCTCCCCTCAGCAGTGTACTTTGGTCAATCTGCCTGTTCTGTTCCCCACTGTCTCTGGTGAATCCTCTTATCATCCCCCCCACACCTCTGGCCTGCACCCCAGCTCTTGAATGCATAAATAAATCTTAAAAAAAATCATTTTGGGGGGCCTCCCCGGTGGCACAGCAGATTGAGCGCTGCACTGTGAAGCTGTCCGCAGCCTCCGCAGTGCGGGTTCGATTCCCGGCCGGCCAGGGAGAAACCCACATGGTGTGGCAGATCTCTCCTGCCTCACCCGCTGCTCCCCTCAGCAGTGTCTTTAGTCCGTCTGCCTGTTCTGCATCCCGCTCTGTCTCTGGTGAATTCTCTCACCCTCCCTCACCTCTGACTGTACCCCAGTTCTTGTATAAATAAATAAATCCTTAAAAAAAATCATTTTTAAAATGTTGCCTGACACATTTCAATTTAACAAAAACAATTAACAGAAAAATACTAATGCTTTTGAGAAATAATTGACTCTAACAATAAATAATTAACTCTAACTCTAATTGTTTTAAGTGTCTAAAGGATTCACTCACATTCATCCTGTACTTGAGACCTGAACCAGGTCTTCTGGCTTCCATCCAGTGATAACTGAATTTTATATTTTATTGCATTAAGGAATCACATTAGTATGTAGCGTAAAATTTATGATTTTACTCACCACTCTGATAGTACTTAGAATCATGTGTCCATCTGAAGCCAGTGCAGAGGCCAAAGTCAGTCAGTTTAATATGACCATCACGATCAATCAAAATGTTATCAGGTTTAATATCTCTATGAATAAAACCCATTTTATGGACACTTTCGACTGCACAGGTAAGTTCTGCTATGTAGAATCGTGCCAAATTTTCTGGAAAGATTCCCATTCTAATTAATAGGCTCATCATATCACCTCCAGGAATATAGTCCATTACAAAGTATAAATTGTCTTTATCTTGGAATGAATAATACAGACGAACTACCCATTCGTTGTCAGCTTCAGCCAGGATATCTCTTTCAGCTTTCACATGAGCAACTTGATTTCGAAGCAGAACATCTTTCTTTCGAAGAGTTTTTGTTGCATATAAAGCCTTAGTATCTACTTTTCTTGCCAAACAGACTTCACCAAATGCTCCTATTCCTAGTGTCTTTATCTTCACAAACATAGACTTGTCCATTTTAGCCCTCTTAAGACGGATGTAATTAGACTCTTTTTGGCAAAGCATTTTTCTCATTTGATCCTGGGCATCTTGAGATAATCCAACCTAGACAAATAAACTAAATATTATATGAAGAATTATCTTCTATATTGAATATTAAGAAATAGCTTGGAAAAAATTCAGGCACATATTTAATGGTTAAATGCATAGTAATTTTTAATAAAGCATGTTAGAAATCTAGAATGTATTTTAGAGAAAATTAAATATCAGAAGTGCACTTAAAAAGAGTTAACAGGATATAGGGTGAGTATATCTGCAGATTCTGCAGTGAAGAGCAAGAAGAGACCAATGGTCAATTTCCTACTCTTCTCTAATGCAATCCCAAAAAATTCCCAATGTGCAATAACCAAACATCTATTAACATGCATCCTCATCTATCTCTACATGCATATTCATCCCAAATTGCATGGTTATATTGCCTTCATTATATGCTTCTCTCTGTGGAATGCCTAGGCCTCAAAAATTCTTCCTCCCATTTTTAGTTTCATGAAAGAATTTCTTCCATTCTAGATTCATTTACTAAAAAATCTGAAGTATTAAGAACAAGACATTATCTATTCTAACCTGAGCACTCATTAATAGTCTTTCATTTCCTCTTTCTTGGGGCATTAGAGTAAAAGTAGGACTCACAGTCACCACTGCAAAACACAAAGATTTCTCCTACCTTACATGAAAGGACAACTTGTTTGATTACAAGGTAGTTTTTTGTTTCTCTGTAGAAGAACTGGGGTATAGGCCACAGGTATGTGTGTGTGTTGTGGGGTGGGGGGCGTTTGGAGGAAGGAGATGAGAGGATTCATCAGAGACAGAGTAAGGAGCAGAATAGGCAGATTTACTGAAATACACTGCTGAGGGAGCAGCTGGCAAGAAAGGAGAGGTCTGCTGCACTATGTGTGTTACCTCCCTGACTGGGAATAGAACGGCTTCAAGTCATAGCTGTGGTAGTGCTGTGACTTAACCCCTAAGTCACTGGGGCAGCCCCGGATTACAAGGTATCCTTTAGGTATTTTGCAACATTACAAAGACTAGTAAGTACAACTTATGAAGATACCAAAACACAGAAAAAACCAAGACCAACATGAAATACTTAGATTTAAAAGGAAGGAAATGTTTATTTTTGGCTAATAAATTATTTTGGCTAATAATTTAAGAATTTTAACAGAAAAAGAATTTTATTTGAAAAGTAGATTCTAGTAATAGAAATGCAAGACTAATTAAAATAAAGCAACCTCATGCTTCTGTTAGGATGCGCATCTGCATGCAAAATCTTTATATAAAGAGGGTGGCATGCCAGACTGAGTATAGAACCGTTTCTCTTAAAATCTTACTTGCCTACACAGTAATGGAGACTACAGAAGTCAGCAAAGCTTCCAACACCATAAAAGTTTAAATCAGCTATTAGTGAAAGTAAAGAGGAAAAAGGAAAAATAAACTAAGAAAATACATACAGACAGACCTTAGTAAGAAATCCTAAGGGCTAAAATATGGATAAGTCATATAGAGTATCATATGTATTTCTCATCTAAAAAAATTCAATTAATATCAGGAATAATAATTTAGAAATCAGATTAAGGAAAAAAGTCCTTTTAAAAGAATGGATTTTTCAACAAATTTATCACAAATTTAAGCCTCTTGGTTTATGAGTGACAGATATGAGTCAAACCTCTGACCTTCATTAAACATGATAAAAATCATAATGATAATAATAGCACCATCATAAAATCTAATGAAAAGATATATATGGACTCACAACACAGAATAAACTACACTATTTACTTATTGTGATCTCCTTTTTAGTAGCTTGATTTTATAATTTTAGCAAATTTTTCCAGTACATTATAAAAATTAAATTAGAAAGGGATATAACCAAAGGGAGATGTCTCTGACACTTTCTAGTAAGACAAAGTAATGAATAAACTCCACACCCCAAAATATTCTAAGTGTTTCATAAGTGTTTCAAGTGATGAGACCCAGATATTTCTAGCTTATTTTAAGATACTATAGGACAATGTATAAAACCTAGAAAATAACCCTTGCTCTAATTTCAACATACAGGTATTATGTACACCTAAACTATACACTGTAAATCATACTTTATTTATTACTGTATTACAGGAATATCTGACTAAATCCTGAAAATATTAAAAATTATTATAATCAAAAGTGCTTTCATGTTTATTGACTTTTAAATAACTGAAAATATATTTAGATATAAAAAGAAAAATACCAGAGCTTAATATTTTAAAATAAATACCAAGTAAACAGATGATCAAGTATAAACATGGACATTTTAAAAGGTTTTACCCGCATCATTTCATTCTCTAATTGCTTTTTACGATGCAGACGTTGCTGATGAGACTTCAGTACATTTTCTACATGTTGCTCCATAAAGAATTTAAATGCCTGAGGAGAGTAACTTTGAATACGAGACTCTCTTCGCTCTTCATCTTTTTTGTTTTTCCTAACGGTGATAGGTGAAGTTGTAATCTGTTTCTTTTCTTTATCCCCATTTTCAACGTTTTCGTAACTTTTTTCACCCTCATCTTCCTTGGGCAAGCTTGGCTGATCCTCTTTGCTCGATTTATTTATTGACTCATATGGAGGAACAGATGGATTCTGGTGTAGCAGATGTTTTGGATAAGGTGGCGGTGGACCTTGATAGTTTGGAGCTTCAGCAACAGGTGGCATAACAGTCAAATTAGAAGTGGCACCCTCAGAAAAAGGACTAGGTTGAACAGTTTGAATTGGCTGTGGCATCCAAGAAGGGTGGGTAGGAGCTAAAGCAGTCTGTAGCTCTGGTTTTAATACACGTATGCTTTTCACAGGCTGTTGAATAGGAGCTGGTGTAATAGCAGTGACTGTTGTAGCTGAAGGCTGAGAATTAGTAGAATGACTTGTTCTGTTTCCTAATGGGTTATTAAAAGAATTTGACCTCACTGGTATGTTAGGCTGCCATGTAGGAATTTCATGTCCACTGCTCGGGGATGACTGGGCTGGAGCAGAAGATGACTGAGGCCAAGTTGTTTGAAGTCCAGGTACATTAATGTTATAAAGTTCCATGTTATGACTGTTTCTGTTTGGCACCATCATAGATTGAGGAATATTTCCATTTGTATATGATGAAGGAGCACCAGATCCTCCTGTTTGTAAAGAAGGACTTTGTCCATTAGTTGGGGTCAGAGGATATGGAGGAGGTGGCTGCCGATTCACAGCACCAGGAGGAACATTCTGATGTATCATAAAATCAGTCTGACCGCTACCATTCTGAATTCCAGGTCTCCCTGGTGGGAAGTTAAATTTGTTAGAACTCTGCATGATGATTGGTTGTCTGCCAACAGGAACAGAACTAATAGCTCTCTGTCCCTGATTAGGAGGATTCATTGGGGAAGTATTCAGAGGGGGTGGAGGATAGCCCTCCTGCCAGGCTCCAGGGGGAACGGGAGAGATTCGGGAGATGACATATTCCACGTTCCCAGAATAGCGCTTTGTTTGAGAGTTTGGTTCCCATGAGGGAGGAGGTGGCGTTGTACCTCTTGGAGGAGGAGTCTGGCCTCTTGGAGGTGGTGGAGGAGTGACACTCCTTACTTGAGGAGGTGGCGGGGGGTTGACTCTCTGTCCATTGCTAGGGTGGGCTTGAGCAAAGGCTGTTATACCAGATCCTGATAAAGGTCTTCCTACATCTGTCTGTGAGTTGGGACTTTCAGAACGATAAGCCACACTTTCCCCTAGTGGTGGGCCGTGTCTCTGAGGAACTAAGGACTCTTTAGAACCTTTCCAGCTTTGTTTGCGGTTAACCGATTGTTGCACACTCCCTATGATTATAAAACAAAGGGGAAAAAATGTTAATTCCAACATTCATTAAATAATAATTCTTCTCTTTCAAGAATTAGAAAAATCAAATTTTTGTAAGTAGTTTTTTTTTTAATTTTTTTTTTTTTTATAGAGGCATGATTTATTTATTTGTTTGTTTGTTTGTTTGTTTTGTTTATACATGCACTGGGTACAGTCAGAAGCGCGGGAGGGTGAGAGAATTCACCAGGGCCAGAGCAGGGAGCAGAGCAGGCAGAAGGACTGAAGCACACTGCTGAGGGAGCAGCGGGCGGCAGGAGAGGTCTGCGCGCCATGTGGGACCCTCCTCTGGTGGCCGGGGAGCAGCCGGGGATCGAACCGGCGCCACTGAGGCCGCGGGCAGCTTCGCAACCCAGCGCTCAACCGCTGCGCCACCGGGGAGGCCCTTGTAAGTAGTTTTAACTTTTAAATTTTTATTTTTGACTAGGTAATACATTCTCATAACTCAAAATTCAAGAGGTACAAAAGGTTATCTACCTTGGTCCTTAGCTAGGCAGTTTCCTCACCTGGTAATTAATTTCATGAGTAGGATATTTTAAGAACACATAAAAAAATAGTATACCAGGCCTCCCCTGGTAGCGCAGCATTTGAGCGCTGGGCTGTGAAGCTGCCCGCAGCCTCTGCAGCGCCGGTTCGATCCCAGCCACTGGCGAGGGTCCCACTTGGCGCGACAGACCTCTCCTGCCGTCCGCTGCTCCCCTCAGCAGTGTATTTCATAGGTCTGCCTGTTCTGTTCCCTGCTCTGGCTCTGGTGAATTCTCTCACCCTCCCACGCTTCTGACTGTACCCAGTGCTTGTATAAATAAATAAAATAAAATCTTTAAAAAAAAAAAAAAAAGAAAATAGTATACCGTTTAGATATAGTATTGTGCCTGACTCTTTTCATTTAAAAAAAAAAAATCAAATATTCTGTATATTGTTTCTTCACTTAAAAAAATGTTGTCATGCACATCACCCAAAGTAGTGATAGTGAAGGCAAAGATAAACAGCTGGGACTACATTAAAGAGCTTCTGCACAGCAAAAGAGACAATAACAAAAACAAAGAGAAACCCCACCGACTAGGAGAACATTTTTGCACACAACACTAATGATAAAGGACTGATCACAAAAATCTACAAAGAGCTGATAAGACGCAACAAAAACAAAGAAAATAATCCAGTCAAAAAATGGGCAGAAGAGCTAAAAAGAAACTTCTCTGAGGAGGAAATGCAAATGGCCAACAGGCATATGAAAAAATGTTCAACATCACTTGCAATCAGGGAAATGCAAATCAAAATTACAATGAGATACCATCTTACACCAGTGAGAATGGCACATATTAAAAAAACTAGCAACAATAAATGTTGGCGAGGATGTGGAAAAAAAGGAACTCTCCTGCATTGCTGGTGGGAATGCAAACTGGTCCAACCACTATGGAGAGCTGTGTGGAGATTTCTTGACCTACTAAAGATAGAGCTTCCATAGGATCCAGCAATTCCACTCCTAGGTATTTACCCAAAGGACACAGAAACAGTAATTCCAAAGGACACCTGCACCCCTATGTTTATAGCAGCACTATTTACAATAGCCAAGCTATGGAAACAACCCAAATGCCCAAAAGTAGATGACTGGATCAAGCAGATGTGATACATATACACAATGGAATATTACTCAGCAATCAAAAAAGATAAACTCATGCAATTTGCAGCAACATGGATGGCACTGGAAGGGATCATGCTCAGCGAAATAAGCCAGAAAGAAAAAGAAAAATACCGGATGGTCTCACTCATAGCAGGAATTTAGAAAACCTAAATCAGGGACCAGGAAAAAGACTAATTAATACAAAGTAAAAATCAAAATCAACAAGCAATTATAAACCAGAAACACACTACCAGGAGTGGGGGGCAGGTAGAGGTAGGGGTGGAGAAAGGAAGGACTAGGGTTAAAATAAGGGGGGGGTGCAATTGTACGGGGAATATAACCAAAATGAAAATGCAAACATTGTGCAAAAATGAAAAATGATGCAAGAATTATATAAAACAAAATATTAAAAAAAAATGTTGTCATGATTTCTCCAAATAGGAAGTGAAAATAGCCAACAGGCATATGAAAAAATGTTCAACATCCTCATAATCAGGGAAATGGGAATTAAAACCACAACGAGATACCACACTACACCAGTAAGAAGGGCACATATTAAAAAAACAAGCAACTACAAATGTTGGCAAGGTTGTGGTGAAAAAGGAATTCTCCTACATTGCTGGTGGGAATGCATATTAGTCCAACCACTATGGAAAGCTGTGTGGAGGTTCCTCAATCTACTGAAAATGGAGCTGCATACCCAGCAATTCCACTCCTAGGGATCCACCCAAAGGACACAAACGTTAATACCAAAGAATACATGCACCCCTATGTTTATTACAGTATTATTTATAATAGGTAAGACTTGGAATCAACCCAAATGCCCACAAATAGATGACTGGATCAAGAAGATGTGATATCTATACACAATGGAATACTATTCAGCAATCAAAAAACATAAACTAATGCCATTTGCAACAACATGGATAGAGCTTAAAGGATGGAGCTTATGGCTCAGTGAATTAAGTCAGAAGGAAAAAGAAAAATACTGAATGGTTTCCCTTATAAGAGGAATATAGGGGATCAAGAGAAAAACAACCTAAAGAGACAACTATAAATTAGAGGCATTCTGCAAGGAAGGGGAGGGAGAGGGATCAAAATGAGGGCGGAAAGAGCACAAGGGACCATGGAGCTGGTGCACAGGTGAATTGGTGGTGGAAATTCTATGGGGACTACACCTGAGAAAAGAAAGCAAACATTATAAAATATAAATAAATAAATAAATAGATTAAAAAAAAGGACAATATTGTCATGGTATTTCATTGTATGGTTATACTCTAATTTATTTAACAGTCCCATCTCTGATTCTTAAGGTTTTTTTGCTTTAAAAAAAAAAAAGAGATAAAAAATTTTTGTAGATAGTATTTCCTTAAGTATATAAATTACTAAAAGTGACATCATTGAACCCAAGAGTGTGACCATTTGTAATTTTGATAGACAGTTGTACATTTTGATATGGCTGCCCTCTCCCCACACATACATCAGTATCACTTTTTTTTTTTTTTAATAGAGGCATGTTTATTTATTTATTTATTTATTTGTTTGTTTGTTTGTTTTGTTTATACATGCACTGGGTACAGTCAGAAGCACGGGAGGGTGAGAGAATTCACCAGAGCCAGAGCGGGGAGCAGAGCAGGCAGAAGGACCGAAGTACACTGCTGAGGGGAGCAGTGGGCGGCAGGAGAGGTCTGCGCGCCATGTGGGACCCTCCTCTGGTGGCCGGGGAGCAGCCGGGGATCGAACCGGCGCTGCAGAGGCTGCGGGCAGCTTCGCAACCCAGCGCTCAACCGCTGCGCCACCGGGGAGGCCCAGTATCACTTCTAAAACAGGAAAAAGACAGCAGGGAGTAATAAGCTGAACACTATACAATGTATATATTTTATACAGAGTCTCTCTCTCTCTTTTTTAAAGATTTATTTATTTAGGCATACAAGAATGGGGGTACAGGCCAGAGGTGTGGGCGGTGAGAGGATCCACCAGAGACAGAGTGGGGAACAGAACAGGCAGATTGACTGAAATATACTGCCGAGGGGAGCAGCGGGTGAGTCAGGAGAGGTCTGCTGTGCCATGTGGGTTGCTCCCTGGCCGGGGCTCGAATTCATGCTGCAGTGGTTGCCAATAGCTTGATAGTGCTAAGACTTAACTCCTTGCACCTCCAGGGAGGCCTTCATTTCCCTTTTTTTAAAAAAGATTTTTATTTTTTTATGCATACAAGAATGGGGTATAGGCCAGAGGTGTGGGGGGTGAGAGGATTCACCAGAGAGAGAACAGGTGGATCAGAACAGGCGGGGAGCAGAACAGGTAGATCTACTGAAATACACTGCTGAGGGGAGCAGCGGGCGAGAGAGGAGAGGTCTGTTGTGCCATGTGGGTTAGCTCCCTGGCCAGGGATCGAATTCATGCCGCAGTGGCTGGCCATAGCTGGACAGTGCTGAAACTTTAACCCCTGCACCACCAGGGATGCCCTCATTTCCCTTTTTAAATAATAAATCTGTCCTTTTGGATATTAAAAAAATGAATATAAAGTACATTTGTATAAAATACAATATATATCAAATATACACTCCAACAGGCTTAAACATTTAAGTGTTAAAAATGAAACTGTACAAACACTAGGGGAAAATAAGTGACCATTCAATAACATTGTATTATTAAACCTATCATAGAGGTAGCTTACTGAATCTCCTGGGAAGCACAAGAGTATTTCAAGTATAACAAAGGTAGAGAATATACAGTAAAATACTGATACCTTAATACATAAAACATACTGTTTTAAAAAAAAGAAATATCCCAAAACTTCAAAAGTCATCATCATCCTGGGAGAAAATATATTAAACAACAGATATAAGCAAAGTGGTGAATATTCAGCATGTAGTTTAACGCTTCATTTCATCAAATTTGGGCACCATCTCGGGTCTATGACTTGAAGGAAACTCATCTCTCTGGGCAAGCCAGACAAGTCCTCTGGCCACTGGACTTAGTCTTACCTTCCTCAGAGTCAGCTGAGGCTATATTTAGCAAGTCGGTCAGTCAGCTTTTACCAGTTAAAATCAAAGTCTCCGTAACCCTGGAGTATACAGCCATCTCTTCTGTTCTACAACTCCTATAAAGCTGTGTTCTTCTATTTCCCAAACCCTTCTACTAGTGCCCTCTAGATAAGCTTTGCTCTATGACCAGCAAATGCTCTTGTATCACTAATCTCTGTTCTAAGCTTTCCCACCACCTCCTAAAAGCTGGTTATCTTCTACTATTTATTACTTTCCTTTCAGCCCAATTTGGGTTTTCTTTAAAATTAAACTAGGCTAAGTTTATTTGTATTAAGGTGGGATTCTATGTCTCTACTTTCATTTACGCTTCCAGATCATTATTTCTCCTTTGTACTTTTTAAAAAGTCAGGTCTTTCAAAGCTCATGTTATCTGGGAGCCCATATTCACTGCTCTCACCAAATAAACCCCTAGTGCTACTAGGGTAGCACTTGATCTACCCTAAACCCTGCCAACATTCTGTAAGTTCAATATACATGTGGAGGAATCCTGTATCACCCTAACCTCTCAGTTTCTTGAGTAATTCCCTTGTACTCCACCTCAAATATCAGCCCCAATATCACAATTATTATTTTGATTTCACTTATTATCTCCTCCCTTTTCAAAATCACTAACTTTTATACCCTTGGACCACAACTTCTCCTGTTTAACTACTCCTACTGCAAATGTTCTCCAAGACATCATCAAGACCTCCAGTCTTAATACCCATCTCTGTCAGTTCTCCCTTTTTTAAAAAAAAAAATTATTTATGCATACAAGAACTGGGGTACAGGCCAGAGGTGTGGGGGCGGGGGTTGAGAGGATTCACCAGAGACAGTGAGGAACAGAACAGGCATATTGACTGAAATACACTGCTGAGGGGCATAGCAGGCAAGTCCAGAAAGGTCTGCTGCACCATGTGGGCAGCTCCCTGGCCGGGGACTGAACTCGTGCTGCAGTGGCTGTGGACAGCTTCACAGTGCTGCGACTTAACCCCTTGTGCCACCAAGGAGGCCCCAGTCCTCTTCTCTCTTTATGGCACATTTTAGTCAATTTAACCCATGGTCCATCATTCTTTCTTCACCCTGTGTTGCTTTTCTCTCTCCTCATTTCTATTCATTCATTAACTATCTACTGAGTATCAATAAGCCATACACTGCCCTACACAATCCAAGGACAATGGTGAACAAAATAACCCTGGCCCCAGGCAGCCTACATTCTTGGAGGAAAGAGACTGACATCACACAAGTGAATAAACAAACAAAATAACATCAGAGTATGATAAATACTATATGAAGTAATCAAATGGTGTTGGATGACATAGAGTAAGAGGACAGCTCCACTGAGGAGATGACTTATGTTCCAAGACTGGGCAAAGGTCCTGAGGTGGGAACTTAGTATTTTTCAAGAACAGGAAACCCAGTATGGCTTTAGAACAGTAAATGAGGGAAAGAGTGGTACTAGATAAAGTTTAAGAGTAATTTGGAAGCAATGAGAAGCCAATAAAGGCAGAGAAAGAATAAGCTCTGATTAAGAACTTGCTATTACCCTTTCAGCAATATTTTGAACTTTTTTTTATCTCTATCTTATTTTGTATTTGCTTAGTAAGACTCTACTCAAGGGTGAGTCCAGCTATCTACTTTTTTCATGCCTGCTAGAAAAAGCTGATACAAAGAGCACATTGATTCCACCATAAATTCATAATCAGCACCTTCAAATGGCTTCAGTACTGTCAAGAAATCCTTTTTCCTTTGGTCTCTACTATGACTCCTGCCAGTCCTCAGTCCCCTCAAATCATCAGCACCATTTCTTAACCAGCACTCTCTGAAGACAACTTGATTTTTCTACCTCCCAGAAAACAGAGGAAACCGAAAGGAACTCTCTCACCTTCCCTATACACCCTAAGTCCACCTGCTTTGGTTAGAACAATATGGTTGCTTCTCTTCCTCCATAAAGATAACCAACTCTTATCCTATACTTCGGATCTTTTCTTCTCCTGGCTTCTCAGGAAACTCATTCGACTTTCCCTAATTTCATCTTCTTAACTGGAACCTTGCAGTCATCTTTTAAATATGCCTAAGTATTTCCTAATTAAAAAATAATAAGACTCTCCTGCAATCCCACACAGACTGCTACCTCAGAGCATTATTTGATACTGGCTACAAACTGGTATTGGCCCAATATGAGATAAATATGGGCGGTGAGAGGAAAAAAACTAAAAACTTTTATAGAAAACTTTTCCACTGCTATCCACCTACTCCAAATTATCTTCATTTCTCAAGAAATACTGCATCTTGTAGCAAGCTGATCCAGACACTCTGCAAGACTTGCTCTATTTGATTTTTTTAAAATACAAATCTAATCATGTCACTATCCTGCTTGAAATGCTTCCATAACTTTCTGCTGCTCTTAGGATAAAATCAATAAACAGTCCTGTACAGTAAAGTCCCTATGTACTTCTCCAGTCAGATCTCACATTCTATTTTCAGTTTTCCACCAACATTCATTCCTTTAAATGTAGCGTCAAAACCTACCAACAGGAAATTAACCCTTGTCTTTCTTCAGATACCAGCTCTATTATCAGTTGCACTCTCCCCTCTTCCTTCACACTTACACAGTTGTAATTTTATATGTCTATGACTATTTTTTTTTAATTTTTTTTTTATTGTATAGAGGCATGTTTTATTTATTTGTTTGTTTGTTTGTTTTGTTTATACAAGCACTGGGTAGAGTCAGAAGCGCGGGAGGGTGAGAGAATTCACCAGAGCCAGAGCGAGGAGCAGAGCAGGCAGAAGGACCGAAGTACACTGCTGAGGGGAGCAGCGGGCGGCAGGAGAGGTCTGCGCGTCATGCGGGACCCTCCTCCGGTGGCTGGGGAGCAGCCAGGGATCGAACAGGTGTAGCAGAGGCTGCGGGCAGCTTTGCAACCCAGCGCTCAACCGCTATGCCACAGGGGAGGCCCTGTATATGACTATTTGATCTCTCTTACTAGAATGTCAGATGTGTAAAAGGCATTCTATACCTAATGCTGAGCAAAGGGCCTAAAACAGTGATTGAACAATAAAAAATTATTGAATAAAAGGGAGAATGAGTAAAAAAGATCTTTTATAAAGCAGTAAGAAAAAGACAAACACAAATTTAACATAGAATTAAAGTGTCAATTAAAAATAGCCAATAAACAAATGTTCAAGTTTGCCAATGATCAAAGAAATGTGAATATAAATGAGATAGTATTTTCATAGTCATTAAATAAACAAAATGATAATACCCAGGATATGTAAAAACAGGCATTCTCCGGCCTCCCTGGTGGCATAAGGGGTTAAGTCTGAGCTCTATAACCACTGCAGCACAATTCGATCCCTGGCCAGAGAGGGTGACCCACATGAGGCAGCAGACCTCTCCTGTCTCACCCGCTGCTCCCCTCAGCAGTTTATTTCAGTAGATCTGACTGTTCTGCTCCCCACGATGTCTCTGGTGAATCCTCTCACCTGCCTCACCTCTGACCTACACCCTAGCTCTTGCATGCATGCATAAATAAAATAAATCTTTTTTAAAAATAGGCATTCTAGGGCCTCCCTGGTGGCGCAGTGGTTGAGCGCTAGGTTGCGAAGCTGCCCGCAGCCTCTGCAGCACCGGTTCGATCCCCGGCTGCTCCCCGGCCACCGGAGAAGGGTCCCACATGGCGCGCAGACCTCTCTTGCCGCCCGTTGCTCCCCTCAGCAGTGTACTTCGGTCCTTCTGCCTGCTCTGCTCCCTGCTCTGGCTCTGGTGAATTCTCTCACCCTCCGGTGCTTCTGACTATATCCAGTGCTTGTATAAATAAATAAATCTTTAAAAAAAAAAAAATAGGCATTCTCATTTTAAACTCATAGGGAGAACATAAGAGTCACCTTTCTGAACAGCAATATCTAAAAAAAAAATAAAAATCTTAAATTAAAAAAAGTCCTTTAAAATTTATGAAATTATCAGCAATGTACCAAAAACATTAACTTCAGTGCTGTCTATAATAGTAAAGTGAAAAAACAAGGAAAGGAAACAAGGCAAATGTCAAAAAATGGGAGACTGGCTAAATAAAGTATGTAATAAGTCTATTTTAATGTAGTCATTTTTTTTTTTTTTGTGGAACATTAAATAAGGAAAGTTATGCACAGTACATGAAGTGAATAAAGTAGCAAAACTTTGAGGAATAAAGTAGCAAAACATGACCCCATTTTTTCCTAAAATAAAAATCAAAATGCACATAAATAATAAACCCACTCAGATTTTCTGCAAGGAAAGTGTAAAACAAAACACACTAATTAATGTTTCTTTTTGCTTATTTACTTTCAAATATCCTATGAAAAACATGTTCCACTTTTATAAAATTAAGGAAAAAAAAAAGTCTGAATGACATTGTTATTTAAAAAAAGTAAGTATTTCAGGGTCTCCCTGGTGGCCTAGGGGTTAAATCTCAGGCTATCACCGCGACAGCAGCAGACCTCTCCTGTCTCGCCCCCCCCCTTCCCCTTAGCAGCGTATTTCGGTAAATCTGACTGTTCTCCCCACTCTGTCCCTGGTGAATCCTCTCACCCCTTTCACTGCTAGCCTATACCCCAGTTCTTCTATGCAAAAATGAAAAAAAGAATAAAGTTAAAAAAAAAAATTAAAAAGTTAAATAAGAATAAAGTTAAAAAAAAAAAGAAATATTTTAGGGGACCTCCCTGGTGGTACAAGGTTTAAAGTTTCAGTGCTATCAAGCTATCACCAGCCACTGCAACATGAGTTTGACCCTCAGCCAGGGAGCTAACCCACAGGGCACAGCAAACCTCTCTTGTCTTGCCCACTGCTCCCCTCAGCAGTGTATTTCAGTCAATTTGCCTATTCTGCTCTCCACTGTCTATGGTGAATCCTCTCACCCCTGCACTTCTGGCCCCAGTTCTTGTATGTATAAGTAAAATAAATCTTTTTAAAAAATTTAAGTTGCAGTTTTACCAGTCAAAGAGTTTGTCAACCTAGGCTGCTCCTTATCAGAATTACCTATGGAAATTAGGACTCCATCCTCAAATTCATTTTGGAATAACACCATAACATTATAATCCTAATCTGAGACTTTTACTTACTGGGATACTTTAAACAGTTTCAAGGACTGAAGATCTGACAGATCTAAATGTTTTAAAAATATAACAGCAGGGACTGGAAAAAAAATGTATGATTAATCACCTGGTTTCAAGCTGGCATTAATAGGTCTGGCAGCCGCTGCTGCCATCTGTTCCCGACGAGGATCCTGGTAACTCATTTTACTAATGAACTCAATTGCAGCTTCTATACTTCTGTTGTTAGTTTTTTGAAGAGCTTGTGCAACCATGTCCTAAATGAAGTTTTAAAAAAGAAACAAAATTTAAATTGTATAATAAGAGGAAAAAACACTAACTTCTGTTAAAGAAGTTCATAATTATATAGGACAGGACCCCAACCCATAATAGTAATGTTCTGTTTGTAACTACTCTAGAAATCCACACAATCAAATTACTGAAGAAAACAAAACAACTGCTGAAAATCCTTCAAATGTCTCCAATTTTCACCTTTATGTAACATATTACTGTTTCCTTCTAGGATTAACTTCTGGGCAAAATCATAGCAACATGATCCTGATTTTCTTAATTTCATTCTTATATAAACAACATACCATTGGATTGTTAAAAGGATACCAATCGAAATAGTAGAAACTACTGTTTGTATCATTAGAGCACTTTATTAAGCAACCTTGCCACTGTGTATATCAGCAAAAGAGCTAAGTTGTGCTAATTCTTATCTTCCTAGAATTTTCACTTTCAGAAATGGAAACTTTACTTACAAAGAAAATTTAGGTAGGAAAAAAGATCACTTAAACTATATATGATTAGGTAATAAAGACAGTGGGAAGTTTGAAGGTATGACAGAAAAAGCAGACTGTTCAGAATCAAAAAGAACTGAGCTTGAGTTCTAAGAGTTCATTACAATGTTTTTGCTTGACATGCTTAGAAGCAAAAATACACTAGATTTATGTGCCCTGCTTTAGAATTGTGTGAAGTTTGGCAAGTTATTTAAAATTTCAGAGTTCAATTTCTTCACCTGTAATACACTTGCACAGTGGACGTGAGGATAAAAAAGAAAACAAGTAAAAATCACTTGAAAACAGTTCCTGGAGCCCAAATGAGGGTTAACTGCTTTGCTACTTGTCCTTTATGTTACATGTAAATATAAATAAATATTAGGATGCACAAAGTATCCTGACATACACTTTTCAGGAGGATTGTGCTACTTAGTTGTCCTCGAGGATTTAGTATTTCAAGCAATATTTTAAAATGAGAAATGACTTAAAAAGACTATGATCCACCTAAGTGAAATAACTGGAAAGGAGTGTGGCAGAGACCTGTTGCCTATTCAAGATCCATTCTCCTTTTCTTAGGAAAAAGTTACTTATTGTGTTGCAAGTTTTCCTACACCTACACTGACCACAAGAAAATTCTGACTTGTGAGATAAAGCAGGGAATTCTGGAGGAATGTTGTTATCCTGATTTAGGTACTGATCCTTCTTGCATCCTGTTTCCTAGACAACAGATATGCTATAGTGGCTAGCTGCCACTAAGAAGGATAATTCAAGAGTCTTATTTTGAAAGCCCGCAGTTCTAACATCTCTAAGAGGCTAGATCAATGCTAGTTATATAATCTGAGTCACTATTTTGTTTAAAGCATTATTTGGATTTTTTGTTAAAAGCAAGCAAACTCAATTCCTAACTAACACAAAGGCACAGCATGGACACATTTAATGCCGATCAGATCCAGCAAATTTATAGTGAGATGCAAAGAATTTAATAGTCTTACTTAACACACAAAATAAAAATACAAAATAAAATTCACCAGGAGGCTCTTCTTTTTCTGTATTGCAGACCATAATCTTCTTAAATGTACTGGAATTTCAATCTGTGATTTTTTTTCAATGGTGATTATAATGCTGGCATTTATCTTTGAATACTGCTATATTTTAGCATATTTTTTACATTTGTAACAATATTAATCAATTGTTCCATAAGTGGGGTTGTCAGTGCCAGCGTGAAAAAGAACACTATCAAATCAGTAACTTTGGAATGTAAGTCTTATAAGAAACATTATGTCCACAATAGTATGCCTTAGTAGCAAAAACACACTCCAATGATTTTAAGTTTATGTTCCTCCAAATACATCAATCCTACTTAACATTTATGCCTATAAGAAAATTAATCTTGAAATATTTGAGATTCTAATTTTACAGAGCACCAAAAATATGTTCTCAAAAAACTGCAACTGTCGGGCCTCCATGGTGGCACAAGGGGTTAAGATGCAACCTATGAAGCTATCCACAGCCACTGCAGCACAAGTTCGATCTCCAGCCAGGGAGCAACCCACATGGCGCAGCAGACCTCTCTTGACTCACCCGCTGCTCCCCTCAGCAGTGTATTTCACTCAATCTGCCTGTTCTGCTCCCCACTCTGTCTCTGGTGAATCCTCTCACCGCCCCCCCCCCCGGCCTGTACCCCAGTTCTCGTATGAATAAATAAATCTTTTAAAAAAACTGCAACTGTCGTGAACTTGGCATAGCTAAAGAAATAGATTAGGGCTTATGAAATGCTAAAACACTATGAAGTAAAAACTGAGTAAAGATTTTGAATTACCAAATTAGGATCTTGAACAAATTCTGCAATATAATGGAAAGCTACTGAAACGAATTATTCAAGGATGCAGAAGTCCTATTCTTTATATCACTGTGGGTATAAACAATATCTTACCTTTATAATTTAGGTCAATAAATGTTTAAAAGCTTTTGGTAAAGCAATCTTGCTTCAGGGAGGGTCATTATCAGAAGCTGACAATTTTCAAACATGATTACAACAATACTAACATCTTTTTCTCTTTTAAAAAGTTTTATACAAGTTTAATATAGGGGCCTCCCTGGTGGCACAAGGGCTAAGTGTCAGCACTATAAAGCGATCCGCAGCTGATCCCCAGCCAAGAAGGTGACCCACATGGTGCAGCAGACCTCTCCTGTCTCGCCTGCTGCTCCCCTCAGCAGTGTATTTCAGTCAATCCGCCTGTTCTGCTCCCCTCTCTGTCTCTGTTGAATCCTCTCAACTCCCCCCCAACACCTCTGGCCTGTACCCCAGTTCTTGTATACATAAATAAACCATAAAAAAAGAAGTTTAATATAACATGTTAGCCTCCTTTATACATAGGAGACACCTTGCATGATTAAGTGATTGCCCACATGGCTTTAGATGCCATCTTAAATATACTAAAATATCTTTGTAATCAAAACAATAATTGTTATTGCCAGCAAAATAAAGGACATTGACCAATGCCTTAGCTTTCTTTAAACCATTTACATTAGACATGGCCCACATCTGATACGACTCACTATCCTGAGTCATGGGTTCACACATAGTAAGAGCTCTATAAATACTTATTTACTTATCAGATATTGTGATATCTGATACAGCAGCACATTGCCACTGAAAGGCCTTAATAGTCATATGATTTTATAGACTCGCTTTCCCTAACAATATATTAAAAGAAAGAACAAGATCAATGATTCTACCATCTTTTTATACTTTGCCTTTTGGCTAAGGGATCAAGAAGAAAGTGCTCTGGAAAATCTTCATTCAAGTCATTTTCTTAATCCTCCAACTATTAATCAGGAAAACATCCCAGGTCCTCTCCCCTTCTCTTTCGATATTGATTTTCTGGTGGAAATTCAATGTTTTTAAAACATATTAAGTGTAAAAATGAAAGGAAATAATATTAATCAAATGGATGAGTAAATGGACCAGAAAGAATCTTTTTTTCTTCCTAATTTCATCATGTCTTGCCCATTTCAATTCTTTTCCTATAATGCATACTTAGGTTCCCATTTTAAAAATTAAATATATTAATTGGGTTAAGGGGATGGTTCTGAGATGGCAGCTTCCTAGTGCTGGTAATGGGGGTGTTGCCAGCATGGCACCTACCGGTGTTTCTGACCAGGCAGATTGTCCTAAAAGCTTCCTACCTGCCAAGGAGATACTGAGTCTCAGCTGGGAAGTCTTGGAGCAACTCAGTGGCTGAGGCAACTCAGTGGCTGGGGACAGGAATTATCTCTGGTGATTGATGGCAACTGCTGCCTAGGAATCAATTGGACTCATTAGCAAGAACACCTATGCCCAGGCTCTCAATGTAGCTGGAACTTCCTCAGTTTGATGACCCTGATCCTGTAATATGACAGCTCAATGCTCCAGAGTTCCAACCATAATGATGGAAACCATAAGCTAAGGATAGCAGAGGGAAAGTAACTGGGTCCTTTGTGGCATTGTGAAGCCACTACACCAAGCCCTGAATGCAGCGCTAAGACTTCTATTTAATATGAGAAGCAAAGCCTCTAGTTTGCTTATGCAAAAAAAAAAAAAAAAAAAGTAGAGCTGTCTAAAAATGTGGCTATTGAATATTAATAATAATGAAGAAATTTTTTTTTTAAAGATTTATTTATCTATTTTATTTTATACAAGCACTGGGTACAGTCAGAAGCGCGGGAGGGTGAGAGAATTCACCAGAGCCAGAGCGGGGAGCAGAGCAGACAGAAGGACCGACGTACACTGCTGAGGGGAGCAGCGGGCGGCAGGAGAGGTCTGCGCGCCATGTGGGACGCTCCTCCGGTGGCCGGGGAGCAGCCGGGAATCGAACCGGCGCTGCAGAGGCTGTGGGCAGCTTCGCAACCCAGCACTCAACCACTGTGCCACCGGGGAGGCCCAATAACGAAGAAATTTTAATGGTAGCAGAGCTAAAAGTAATTTTCAATTTTTCCTTTATACTTTAAATTTTCTAACAAGGAATAGATATGATTTCTTAGCTAATAAAGTATGCCATCATGGAAAATAAATTTTATTAATAACTTAAACAAAATGATTATATGTGCCGGGAAAACCTTTCAAAAATAAATTGAGGATAAATATTAAAGACTTGGCAAAATTAATATGAACTGAAATTTCATTAAAATTAAACTGAAATTCGGGCCTTCCTGGTGGCACAAAGGGTTAACCACCACACTATGAAGCTATCCGCAGCCTCTGCAGCACGAGTTTGATCTCTGGCCAGGCAGAGAGCAACCCACATGGCGAAGCAGACCTCTCCTGACTCGCCCGCTGCTCCCCTCAGCATTGTGCTTCAGTCAGTCTGTCTGTTCTGTTCCCCACTCTGTCTCTCACCCTCTTGCATCTCTGGCCTGTACCCCACCTCTTGTGTTCATAAATAAATAAATCTTTAAAAAAAGAATTAAACTGAAATTCTTGGAGACTGATCAAAGCATGTAAATTTTTAGTTTTGTGAATTTAAGATTTGGGTTTAAGAGTGATATAAACATGCTTGTTTACTGAAATCCCTGATTATATTTCTTTCGCTGAAGTATAAATGTAAACTACGTATCTTTGGAGCTGTCATTTCTGTAAGTTACTCAGCTCCCCAGAGCTCCTAATGCACATGAACAGATGTCCTTACCCTGCCCTCACCTGTGGCTTTCTTCAATTGCACTTTTACTTCATGATGTGACCTTTTAAATCCCAGAAACCACAGAGAAAACTAAAGAGATAATAATTATTTTGTTTTAATAATGGAATTGTAAATAACATTCTCTGCTCAAACAATATACAAATTTATATACATAGTTAAATTCTCTCAAAGGGAATATTCAGAAATGAGATCACTGTATGTCACCATATGCATATTAAAGAAAGCTTTTCCTTGTGTTTAAAAGTTCTTACCTCATCAAATCCAGCAGCTTGCAAGTCTTGAAACATCTGTGGATTAATTTCTGAAGAATTCCGGGAGGAAGAACTTGTTTCATTTGCAAATGGCAGCAGAGAGTTTCGAATTTCTAGTAAAGCTTTATGATGTGTCCCAAATTTGGGTGGATTTCTGACTTGCCGAGGATCTTCAGTTGACATCTTACTCATATTATGCTCAGCCTTAGCTGCATCGGATGGTTTAGATAAATTCCTAAGGGATTCCCGAATTTCTTGCAACATTTGCCGGCTGTTGCCAGTGTAGTTACTGGCAGGAAAGGTCTTAGGCCTCATGTGTCTATATCCTTCTGGCTTTTCACTCCTCTTCATGAAAACATCTATATGTATATAACCCACACTAAGAAATTCTTTATGTTACTTGATAGATCCAGGGCTTTTTCTCGAGCAAAACTGAAAAAATCCTTCACAGAAGTTCCCAGGAATGTTAACAATCAATATAATTAACCCTATAAAAGAAAAAAAAAGCTATAAAGTGATAAAGCATTACCATGTACTGGTGGGGTGAAGAGATCACCCACACTGATTTAGTTCAAGATCTAGGTTACAGTTCTAGCTCCATTATTGATTACAATTAGGACAAGTTTCTTAGCCTCTTTGTGCCTATTTCCTGCTCTGTGAAAGATTACCTCAAGTAGTGGTTACCATGATAAAAAATAATTTTTAAGAGTGATTTAGTATGTATATACAGTACAAAAACAATGCAAGGGATCCCCAAGTAAACTATACAACAGTCAACCTCTCATTATCAACTTCACCTAGTAGTTCCAATTTTAGATTTTACAAATTAGACTTCAGGGCCTCCCTGGTGGCGCAGCGGGTTGAGCACAGCGCTGTGAAACTGTCTACAGCCTCTACAGCATAGGTTCGATTCCCAGCTGGCCAGGGAGATTCCCACATGGCGTGGCAGACCTCTCCTGTCTTGCCCGCTGCTCCCCTCAGCAGTCTATTTCAGTCAGCCTGCCTGTTCTGTTCCCCACTCTGTCTCTGGTGAATTCTCTCACCCCCCGCATCTTTGGCCTGTGCCCCAGCTCTTGTATGCATAAATAAATAAATCTTTAAAAAAAAACAAAACAAAACAAATTAGACTTCAAGTATAAGATAGCTTCAGAAGAAAGAGTACTGTCAGCTTATTAACAATGGGATGGGGAAAGGACTTCTCAGGATAACCTGTCTCATTCCTTACCTAATGCATAAATGTCTTCTACAACATATTGGAAGAACAGCCATCTAAGATATACTCAAGGTCCCCCACTGATAGGGAAATCACTAATTCAAGAAGGCCATTTCATTTGTGATCTGCAAAATTGCTAGGAATGGTTTCTCATGCAGAATATCATGAAATGTTATTTAGTGCCTACTGAGATCCTGTTATGGGGGAGTGCAAAATAACTTAGCCCACTTTCTCATTAAATGATCCTAATAGCCCCAATAGAGGTAGGTTTATTATCTCTATTTTGTAGATGAGGTTCAGAGTTTGGGTAAAACAGTTTGTATGTAAATGCTACCAATGGGATGTGAAACACTGCTAATCATCATCTATTGGGAGCCTATTTCTATTTTCTTTTTGAAGATTTTATTTATTTTTGCATAAAATAACTGGGGTATAGGCAGGGGTGCAGGGGTTGAGAGGATGCACCAGAGACAGAAAGGGAGCAGAGCAGTCGCATCTATTGAAATACACTGCTGGAGGAGCAGTGGAAACGCTGTATGTAGGTTAGCTCCCTGGGGCAGTTGCTGTGATAGCGCTGAGACTTAACCCCTAGGCTACCAGGGAGGCCCCTATTTCTATTTTCTTTTTTTTTTTTATTTTAAGATTTATTTTATTTATACAAGAGCTGGGGTACAGGCCAGAGGTGCGGGAGGGTGGGAGGATTCACCAGAGACAGAGCAGGGAGCAGAATTGGCAGACGGACTGAAGGCACTGCTGAGGGGAACAATGGGCGAGACAGGAGAGATCTGCCACGTCATGTGGGACTCTCCCTGGCTGGCTGGGAATCAAACCCACGTCGTAAAGACTGCAGACAGCTTCACAGCACCGTGCTCAACCCGCCGAGCCATCGGGGAGGCCCCCTATTTCTATTTTCAATAAATGTAACCACCACTCATGTTACATAAAGATGTCTACAGACGGATAGCTACCTCCTTGTCATTTAGGACTCAGACCTATATTATCTCCTCAAAGTGCCTTTCCCTGGTCACCTAATTACCCTTTTTAATTTTCTTGACACTTAGCTCTCTCTAAAATTATCTTGTTTACGTGTTAACTATCTTCCCTCACTGAAATAAATGCTCCCTAAAAGAAGAGGGCCTTATTTGTCTCCTAATCACCATCAGCCCACTGCCTATACCAGAGCACTATTGATAGCGCTCAATAAGTAAATTCTGGTCCTCCATAATCACTTCCTCACAGAACTCCTCAGAAGCCTCCACCTTTTTGTCGTGGCTGCCCATATACCATTCTCAGTGAGGAAAGCCCCTTTGTGAAAGTTGGTATCAGAGCTTCTGCCCAATTGTTAACCTTGAAAAACTGTAGTCCTTGTAAGTGAGCAGATATAGGCAAATGCTGCCAAAAACAAAACTGAAGCTGCTCCTGTCACTGATGTGGTAGTATGATTGGGCTTCTACAAATTCTGAGGGAGAGAAAATGCCCAAAGTAGCCTGCCATGGTTAAGGCCAAAGTCTTCAGCAAAAGATCCAAAGAGGGGGCCTCCCCGGTGGCGCAGTAGGTTGAGTGCAGTGCTGTGAAGCTGTCCACAGCCTCTGCAGCACAGGTTCAATTCCCGGCCGGCCAGGGAGCAGCCCACATGGCACAGCAGACCTCTCCTGTCTCCCCCGCTGCTCCCCTCAGCAGTGTGCTTCAGTCAGTCTGCCTGTTCTGCTCCCCATTCTGTCTCTGGTGAATCCTCTCACCCTCCTGCGCCTCTGGCCTGTACCCCAGTTCTTGTATAAATAAATAAATCTTAAAAAAAAATCCAAAGCTATTAAAGGCATGCAGTAGAGGTGGTCCTGGACCTATGTTCTGGTAGCTTGAAGCCACATGGAAGAAAGTTCATTAAATCCTACAAGTGCTTTTCAAAAACAAACAAAAATGTTGAACAAAAGAAATAAACACGTCTCCTAAACATCCCTTTAGTTGTCCCCTATTTGGAGTCGTGCTCTTTGGGGTACACTCCAGTTTGTTAAAGTCTGACAGGTGCTAGAAAAACATAGCACTTGTAATAGAAAAACAAAGAAAAAAATTTATCCAGGTTCCTGTTCTCTCAATTATTAGCAATAAGGACTTGGTCTTTTAATCCTCTCAAAAACTATCCACTGGGCCTCCCCAGTGGCGCAAGGTAAGCACAGCACTATGAAGCAATCTGCAGCCACTGCAGCAGCAGTTTGATCCCTGGCCAGCCAGGGAGCTGACCCGCATGGGACAGCAGACCTCTCCTGTCTCCCCGGCTGCTCCCCTCAGCAGTGTATCTCAATAGATCTGCTTCTTCTGCTCCCCACTGTCTCTGATGAATCTTCTCAACTGACTCCTCACCTCTGGTGTGTACCCCAGCTTGTATGCATAAATAAAATAAATCTTAAAAAAAAAAAAAAAACCAACACTCTCCTGAGGCATTACATGGCTTCAGTAACAATGTTATCATATGACTTAAACCAGTATGCATAAATAATCTTTTTTTTAAGGATTTATTTATTTATACAAGAACCGGGGTACAGGCCAGATGCGCGGAAGGTGAGAGGATTCACCAGAGACAGAGCGGGTAACAGAACAGGCAGACTGACTGATCCCCTGGCCAGGGAACTACCCACATGGAGCAGCAGACCTCTCTTGTCTCGACCACTGCTCCCCTCAGCAGTGTATTTCAGTCAATCTGCCTGTTCTGTTCCCCATTCTGTCTCTGGTGAATCCTCTCACCCCCCCACACCTCTGGCCTACACCCTAGTTCTTGTATGCATAAATAAATAAATCTTTAAAAAAAACAATTTTTACGTAATCTTACATGTCAGATCTTTCAGTATCTGGAAAGCATTCCTTTTACAGCACCTAGGAATTTCTTTAATATTTCACTTATTTGGGATTTCAACTCCAAGTTAACCATCATTTTATTATTTTACCAAGGATCACTCTCCTTGATAAAGAAGGAAAAAAAAACAAAATAAGCATAGTTTTGCTTCAAGATACTATATATGCGTCCATTCCCCTAACATAGGACTGCTCGACAACAGGCAGTATAAAAATATTTGTTGAGGGCCTCCCCGGTGGTGCAGCGGTTGAGCACTGTGTTGCGAAGCTGCCCGCGGCCTCTGCAGCGCCGGTTCAGACCTCTCCTGCAGCGCGCTGCTCCCCTCAGCAGTGTACTTCGGTCCTTCTGCCTGCTCTGCTCCCCGCTCTGGCTCTGGTGAATTCTCTCACCCTTCTGATTGTACCCAGTGCTTGTATAAATAAATGAAAATAAATCTTAAAAAAAAAAATTAAAAAAAAAATATTTGTTGAATTAATCAGGGGAGGGGGTGGGAAAAAATGTTATCTTTTTTAATTATAAAAAGATGCATTCTTGCTGAAAAATTCAAATATTGCATAGTTATGTTAAGTAAAATCCTCTATAATTCACCTCCCTCTATAGAATTGATGTAGGCTGAATAATGGCATCCCCAAAATACCCACCTCCTAATCCCTGCAATCTGTAAATGTTACCTTATTTGAAAAAGGAATTTGCAGATATCATTATGTTAAAAGATTTTGAGATGAGGAAGCTATTATGGATTTTCCAAGTGAGCATAAATGCAATTACAGGTTCCTTATGAGAGGCAGAGCGAGTCTGATACACCTGGAAGAGGATATGGCAATGTGACCATGGAAACAGAGACTGTGGTGGTGCATGCAGAAGCCAACGAATGTCAGTGGCCAACAGAAGCTGGAAGTGGCTAGGAAAAGCTTTTTCTCCTAGAGTCTACGTAAGGGGATGGTTTTGTAAACACTTTATCTTAGGGCTGAAATACTGATCGTGGAATTCTAGCTTTTCAACTGTGAGAGAATAAATTTATGTTGCTTAAAGTCATTAAGCTTGAGAGTTTTTTACATAAGCCACAGGAAAATAATGCAAGCGCTATTAATACTACAATTTCTAACATATTAACCAGAATGGGACAATACAAAAAATGACACTTTTATGTAGTAATGCGGACTTATAAGAGAAGGAAGTGTTGCCCAGACTTCCTTGACCAAAAGAACTTTTGTTCTGCATAGCACTTTGTGAGACTCATATTCTATACCACATACTTTACAAAATGTTGGGTCAGAAAGATTCATTCCGGTACTGTGTTCTATAACTATACTTTGATAGTCTCTAACATCCAAGTTAAATATACACTGGTCACAGAAACAACCAAGTTTTGGTACATATGTAATAATGTTTTAGATTTAAATAAAAATCAGTATATGCTTACCTCC